TCTCTCGGGATGATGCTGGCCCGGGAGAGAAAGGGGGGGAGGGGGGGGGGGGGGGGGGGGGGACGGGATACGTCCCTCTGATGTGGTCCCGACATTAAGCGCAGGCGGCCCGTCGGTATCAAACGCATCGAATCGTGGTATGTCTGCTGAGGTGATTAACCTGGACAAGGCACAGCGATGGGAGTGTACCCTAGGCCGTAAAGTGGTGGCATGGGTGTTCGAAACTTCGGCTGCAATCAAGCATTCCATATCTGTTGGGCTTGGAGGAGGCTTGGAGCTTTGCTGAGAGAGAAAAGTCGTGCATGTGTGTGGTTTCAAGGCTTCAGCTGCAACTAAACTCTGTATGTTTGTGTGTGTGTGTGTTGAGGCCTTTGGAGATTTGGGCCTTGGGAGCGTGCGAGGCTGCGGAGCGCTGGCCTCGTTTGGTGTAGTTGTGTTGTTGTTGATGTTGTTTTCTGGGGGGTTCACATTGTGCGTATAAGCGGAAGATCGGTTGAACAGCTGCGAAGTAGAAGCCCGATGGATTGTGCGCTGTGGAAGAGCTTCCCGGCGGACCTTCTGGAGATAGTGCTATTGTATGTGCCAATTCCCGAGCTGTGTCGGCTCCGAGTGGTGTGCAAGAGATGGGCTGCGTTGACGAAGGAAGAAGAGTTTAAGTTGAAGGCCAAGCCACAAACTGGTTATCTGTTCCGGACACCTGACGTGATCACACCCAACGACAACGAGTGTAGCTGGGAGATCCGTGACCCGAGTACCCAAAGCCTCTATGTGCTAAGTGATACCTTTCTCTACGACCATCTGAACGAAAAGATCGAAATAGCCGATAACTACCAGCGCTCCACACTCGCCGCGGACAAGGGGTGGTTGGCCGTGCTCTGGATCACTGGAGATGGGGAGGATGAGGCCATGTTCGTGTGCAATCCGGTAACGAAATCATTCAAGGAACTTCCCCCGCTCTTCTCCAACTCCGCTGCAAAATACTTCAACCCTGCCGTGGCGTTGGTGGTCGCTGACGACATGCTGAGTTACAAACTATTTGTGGTCCAGGAGTACGGCATTGAAGACCCAGCGAGAAAGCGCTGCTTCGTCTACAACTCCAGTGTGGGTGAATGGCGACCATTCGCACACCCTCCACCAACCCTCACGCCGTGCCACATACTGAAGGTGGACACTATCTTGTACACAATCTTCCGCGACATGAACGAAAACCATGTATCGCTACGGACGTACGCAATTTACTCTTACGACACAAAGACCGACCAATGGACTGACTTGGAGGTGGATCCGCCCGGAGATTGTTTCATTCCTCAGCTGGTAGCCTGCTCAGGCGATTTGTTTTTCATCGGCTACAACGATGAGGAGATTTCCATTTCAGAGATCGACGCTGCCGGGAAGCAGCTCAATTTTGTTGCGACGATGGAAGACGAAAAATATCACGATATGCTTCCCGACTACGACTCTACATATGGTGGCCACTGGAGTCCTTACATCGATTGCATCGGCACGGGTGCTAATCTTCTTGCTGTGGGAGACGACCAAGGCTGCATCCACTTTTCGTCAGTGACAGGCGATAGCGTGTCCTACGACTTGAATGAGGAGGAGTGGTTTGAGGTGGAAGGTAACGGCCTCGCGGGTCATATGGATTTCGAAGAAGAAAGGGCGGGGTTGTTTGGCAACTTCATTCGTCTCTCTTCGGCTCCAGTTCCCTCTAAAGACTCCCCTAAGATTTGAATAGGCTTCAGGTCGGCAACTCATCGATTAGCCCTATCAAAGTCAATTGCATGGAAGAGCAAAGTACGTCGTCCCCCGCTGAAAAACAACGAAACCCGTTGAGAATCTGTGCAGAATGAATGGAGACGGATTTCTTTGAACTGGGTGTTGTCATTTTCCTCAGTCGGCATGACGCACCCTTCTCTGCTGGCAGCAGTTTCTCCCCCAAACCTCGAGGCTTAGTGTTTTTCGCTGTTGGTGGCGCCTCACACAGTTGGTTACGTTCGCTCTACGCGGAGGCACCCGATGTGACTCTGGTGTTGTGGAGAAGCTGTTCTGACAGCTAGTGATGTCCACAGGTTTTCACTCAGATCTCTCACAACCTTCTTCATGTTTTTCTGTTTTGCGGCACCCGATATTCTTGACTTCTCATGCAGTTTACTGTAGCAATTTTGTCATCTGCCCAGTTGGTGTGCAGATGTTCGACATGCTACTTTGCTGTTGGTGGCGTGAAACCCTAAACTTGGTATCTTGGGCTATGGCCGGAGGCGCATGATGCGGCCCTGCTGTTGTGGAGTTCTGACAGCTGATGACATCTACGGGTCTGAGCAATTGATGTGATAATGTAATTGCGGATGGGATTACAGTAAGTCGGTATCCCATTTTAGGTGAAATTTTCATACTTTGAGAAGTTGAAAATGCTTTACACATTGCAAGGAATTCATCTGTACAACTGTTGGGAAGGGTCTATTGAGGCATCAGTTTTTGAGCGCGCAAAATCATTCAATGTAAATAGAAAGGGATGTCGACTAAGTCACTTCTACTAAGCATTTTCAGACTTCTCGGGCAATTATTGTTCCGATCAACTTGGAACATCATACTGGATAAGCAGTTTCTTTCAGCACTGTGCGGTAGAGTAGTGGATTGCTACATGAAATATTCAACGATTTCAATCATTGCCATCTTACTTAATGTGACTGTTTAAGCTTTGAATGTATGGTAGTCAGAATACTGACTTTATCAACTTATTTTCCAGAGAGGACTTTTTCTCCTCCGCAGAACATAGAACATGATCTTTATCAGAATAACGTCATTTTCCGCCATTCAGAGTTTGTACACACATGTTTAACAGAAGATTTTTCCGAGATCCCCATTTTAGTGGGTCGTACATAGAATATTCTATGAAATATCAAGTGTATGGACATTGTTTAAGATTAAGTACCACAGCATTACATCACAGTGAAGGCGTACTCAAAGTGTCTGTGCCGTATAACTTAAGTTAGGACAGACTGTCAACTAGGCAGTTTGTTACAGACGTTCTGAAGGTAACGATAATATAGGGTAAACCCCGACAACAACGTTGAGCCTACGGCAGAAACTCCTCGTCGAGCGGAGCAATAATACATCAGAAGGGACTACAAGAACATCCGCCAAGAAGGAGGAATAGGAGTATGACGTCAGGAGGTTCCATATTCTAGGAAAACCAGAACCATACGATTGATTGCTTCAGGTTCCAAAGAGAAAATGACTCTTCAACAAGAAAACTCTGAGTGGAGAGGGAAACGGCATTTAAACCTCTTCAATGAGGAACACTCAGGAGTGACTACGCCGAGAGCATTACACACTAATACCAACCAAAAAACGACCTAGAGGAGTAGTACTTGATGTTGTGGCGTCATTTAACTCAACACCCCATGACAAGAGAAGCGAGGTGATAAAACGCCACATCCAGACGCAATGGTGACATCCCATCTGTTTTCACTCTACGAGTTCGTTCAGCCGCGGCGTACATCTACAACGAACCCCGCGGATAGTTATGAACTCACAGATATCCAAACGACACTAACAGCCACAACGACTCAAAGAAAACAAAAAATTAAAAACAAAACCAAAAACACTAGTCACAAGAAGGAGGAGAAAAAAAAAAAAAAGTGCAACTGATAGCATCAATCCCATACCCTAACGACAGTCAAGATCGTTAACCACCTGTGCTAACCTCAGCACAACTCAGTGCTCCGGTCAGCTCCACAACAGAGCCAAATACAATAATGCATTATCTCATGGGCAGGAGAAGACCCAAATACCATCCTCTCGACAGATGAGCGAGATCCACGAGAACCCGCAGCCAACACAGGATTTCGGTGAGGCACCTGCTTTCAGCCTTTATGGAGGACTCCGCGCAACAATGCGAACAAGCAAACCCTAATTCCTGCACGAAGGATGATACCCGAGGTAGATACCATGGTAAAAAAAACACAGAATGCGATAATTTGGTAATGAAGTCCTGGATATACCCGCCATGGTATCTGCTTGGCTTGAAAAGACAGCTCGCTGCTGAATCCTCCGCCCACTGTTTGGTTGTGTTTTGTGTGGGATGTGAGGGGCATGGTGATGTCGATTTGTGCCTCTGAATTGGCTTTCTGCTGTTCGAAGTGCCCGGTGGCCATGACGTCTGATAGCGTGCTTGCTCCTGGACAGCCACGCATCAAATCACAAGTCCAACGGTGAATTCTAATCTCGCTGGTTTTTCAATACAAATTTAGATAAATAAAGCTTAACTTCTGTTAGGTTTCAGGGGAAAAAGGGAAAGAAATGTGCTTTGTGTAACGGGCACACAGGGGCATGGGATGAAAGGAACTGAAGATTAATGAGGAAAATGGTATAGGATTCCACATAAACTGCATTGTGTATGTGATAGTCTTTTAAATCACTTCCAGAACAAGGATTTGAAAAATCAAAAGTCTTGAGAATAAGATTTAATAATAATAATAATAATAATAATACCAACCTGTTTTTTTATTTTGTGACCTCTCATTTTCCTTTGATGTCTATGTTTCATATTGAAGATTTTTAAATTTCTTTTGTTCCATGGAACAGGACAGCCTTTGATCACCCTAATACAATTGTTTTTTTTTATTAAAGAACTTTCAATGAATTTCACCAGTAAGAGAAAGATTTCAATTTTTTTTTTTATAAAGAAGAAAAAAAAAGGCTGAGGAAATAAATAAAGTACAACCACCTCTACTCTTTTTGTTCTTTTTCAACTTAAAAATAAAATATAAATAAAAATGAAACTTTTAAGGAAACAAAAGAATATTTACATATATGGATTGTGTTTTTGCAATATCTTACAAGCATACACACCTTTTTTCAAACTCTTAAACTTATCACCATTGCCTTTTTTTCAATTGATTTGTAATTTATTCTCAGTGATAAGTTAAATATGTCAAAGTTATTCCTTCAAAAGAGTCTACACTGGAACAATGTTATTCATTACTCATCCGCAATCTATTCATTTTAAAAATAATTTAATTTAATTCCTCATAATCTGTGCAAACACCGTAATTCAAGGTGTTCCCCTGTGCAACAAAAAGCCTTGATTTTATCTCCAAAAACCATGTATCAGCATGGTCCTTGAATTATCACCTCACCACACAAATCTCAGTTGGGCCCCACATCACTCTACTGACTTGGGATTTGAGATCCTTGGAACTCACAATGTGCAATTTGTAGTATATATATATATATATATATATGTGTGTGTGTGTGTGTGTGTGTCTCTACTTGAATCTATCTAATACACATATTTGTGTCTATGAATAACTTATACAAAGAGTTCCCAAGTGTAAAATAATAAAAGTGATGTAAATGCAAAAAAATACATGATATAGTATAAAAGTTTTAATTTGAAAAGTGGACTTTGTGCATAGCTTAGTAGGCCATAATGTGAACCATTACAAATTGGGATTGTGACTCTCTAAAAATGTAATTGGGAACGTTGTGTAGTAAAAAGACCAATGATTTCTTTGCTCCTGAAGAAAAATGGGCATCAGTCTAAGTGTGTCTTTTTATATACTTATTTATTTATATGTTTATTCACATTTAAACAAGCAAGTGAGGGAGTTGAAAGATATTCATGAATTGATTTTATTTACAATACTAGCAATTTTTTTCTAGCACCAATATTGTGACATTTTTCTTCTAGTATATTGTCTTTTTCTTTTACAATCTCTTTCAAAGTAGTAATTACATTGCCTAACAATAATACAACTTGGTAGTATACAAACACATTGCATTTGTGCACATTTTTAAATTAAAGTAGATAAAAAATAAAACACTTTTTATTTATTTAAATTTTTTATTCCTTAAAGTCTTTTTATAAATTAAATGTTATTGCTAAAATTTGTTTGACACTTTTGTGAAAATCTAATTGAAAGATTGTCTTTTATTACTTTCTAACATTATTATTGTAATTAATTTGTGAGTCTTTTGAAGCTTGTGAAGGTTGAAGGCTGTATAAATTTTATTTTTTCTATTATTAACCAAATAATATTATTAAAAGTAACATTCAAAATTAATATCACAACAATCCAATACAATACATGTAATAAGACTTTATCATAGTTATGTAATTCCCTATAGATAAAATTACTCTTTGGCATTAATTGTTTTTTTTGTCTTCGTATTTTTAACATTGCATTTTTTTCAAATTTTCATTACTTAAAATTTTATCAAAATAATTTTATGTTATAAATAATGTTTCATAATTTATTATTTTGTTTAGTTATTTTTGTAATGATTCACTGTTTTTAAATTGATGTTATTCTCATCTGATATTTATGTTCTATTTAAATTTACAAAACAATAAGATGTGTCTTAAAATATCCAGAATACTTTAAAAAAACATTAAAATAATATTCATATACATATGATAATAATAAAAATAATAACTTTACATATTTAGTATTGAATATAAATATTTGAAATAATAAATATTGAATACAAATGCAACTTTCTTAACAAAAGATACATGACACATGGCCAACTCCAACAACACATAGGTGCTCTTCATTCAAAAAAATCTAGAGAACTCAACAAACATCTCCAACAAAATATTACATGCTCATCTTCATTTGATGTTACCATCAAGAGTAACAATAACAATCCTCATGAACCTTTTTATTTTGAAATACATAAATAACTAAAAATGTTGGTAGCCCCGCAAAATACAAAAAGTTGATGCATCCAAGGGCAACAAAAAAGCCTCACCCACATAAAAGTGTTGGCAGAATGGGTCGTAGCCATAGAAGGAAGGAAAGAATGAAGGAAGGAAAGAAAGGAGAAAGGAAGAAGACGAGTTGAGTTGAGTTGAGAAAGTAGTGCGGAAGTGAGGTCACCAATGCCACGACTGAGATGAGAGGATGAGTGCCTGCCCGCCCACCTGCCCTCCCATCTGCCCGTTTACCTGCCCGAAGAAGGAAAAAAGGAAACCGGCCCGGCGCAGGGGGGACTCATCGGGACCGGGGACGGCCACGGCCCGTGGCGTGAGGCCATCCCAGGATTCAGGCGAGCCTTTAGTGGCGAGGCGAGGCCCCTCCGCGGCCCAGATTTCCTGTTTCCGAGTGGAGCAGCAGCAGCAGGAGGAGTAGCAGAAGTAGCAGAAGCAGGCAAGGAAGGAAGCAAGTAAGGCAGGCAAAAGCCAGGACTCTCGTAGCGAGCACAGCTTCAACAATCGACGGGTCGACCGTGGGAACTAAGCTTCACAGACAGAGCGAGGGCGGGTGTTGTTTTTTGGTCTCTGACTCTGCCTCTGAGTGCACGGAAATGGAAATCCCGCTCAAGATAAGCTCAGACTGATCGTGCCGCGGCTACCGTGTTTGTAGGTTTTTGTGTGTGTGTGTGTTGGTGGTGGTGTTTTTTGCAAGGGAAAACGCTTAATCACATGAAGGACCGCTTTGCAGATAAGGTAAATAGTGGTGGGTGGGGATTCCCATACTAGGGATCCCATTCTGGGCCCTGTTTCTTTGCATTTGATCTTGTGGGTTCCGCGTGGGCGGTTAATGCGTGATTTTGGGTTTGTTGTTTCTGGTGTTTTGTGTCTCTGTGTGGGGGTAATTGTTGGAGGGCGGTGGTTGGTAGGGGTCGTTATTGTGTGCCGAATGGTAGAGGTTTCCAGGTTGCTTGTGGCGTTTCCCTGCTTCAGTGTTTTTATTCTGGGTATATTTGGTGGTGGAAAATAGAGTTCGCTGCGGTGGTGTGGTTTGGGAGTGTGGGTGTTGGTAGTGGAGTTAGAACGCTGACCCTGATCATGTGGGTGAAATGATGAAAGTGGATGTTCTTCACTTCCGGGGGTATCGTGCAAGCTGTTTTTCGAATTTCACGAGTTTTTAGATGAAGATGCGGAGAGAAATATGAGCTTCGCTTAGGGTTGGTGAACGCCCCTTACACCTGTCTCGGTAGGTATAGAGTTTAGCTGCCAATCTGCAGTCTTGGGTTTCACGCCAAAGGCGACTTCTCAGCTGGGAGGGAATACACCGTCTTAGTTAGGGTTGGGGGATGGGTTTCGACACTGCCTTGGCGGAGGAGCTTAGCCTTGATTTCAACTGTATGAGTATTCCATTTCTCACGTAGAAGTTCGCGAATTGCCTTGCTCAATTCTTGACCTTTCCCGTCTCGAATGAACTGTGTTTATGCAATGGGACGCACTGAAACCAACATTAGTTATGATTTCTCGGGGTTTGTCTGGTTTGGAGGTGTTTCACAACGCACAGTGTAAAGCTTTGAGACCAGTAGTAGTTTGGCTTGATTCTTTCGTTGGATTCCGAATCTGCATTTAGCAACTTATGCGCGTCAAGCCTCTTAAGTTTGGTTGTGATTACGTCTTTAGAATCCTAATTTTCAACTTGCTGCACCTTCAGGTTAAGTTCTTCATTTATCTCGAGTTTTAGAGAGTATCTTTTATATGCTCTTTGTATTTTGTTGTTGTAGGACTGTTCGTCTGAGGAGCTGCAAACATTGCACAGTTTTTGGCAGGACTCGTGCTGCGTAGCACCAGCCTATTACACTCTTTGTGGTCGAGATTCAAAATCCTGGGCCTGCATACAGTCAGCTTGCCTCTTAAGCACGTCTAAGGTATTAACGTTCGAAAGGAGGAGCTGCAAAGCTCTTTACTATGGGGTATAATGGGAGAGAGTTTCGTGAACCATATAAAATGGTAGGGACAAGCAATGTTTTGGCTTCATTTGCAGGTGGCGAAAGCCTCGCTGCGAGCATGTCAAACTTGTCTGTTACTGCTCGAGATCAGAGTAAATCTGGATCCAACGATACCCCTGGCTATTCTAGCAGTCAGAGTCCCCCATTGTTATCCTCACAAAGCCAATCCAACCTCTCTCAGTCAACATCTACTTCTTTATCCCTAGCACGTACGAACCTCAATCCTAATGCAGCGGTATTTGTTCCCAAGACTTACAACGCCCTCTCACCTGGAAGTGTTGCTCAAGTTTGGGAGTCGCAGAAATCTCCTACTTTCGCAGCCAGTGGGGACAAAGAGACTGCAGGCTCAAGATTGAATAGAACAAATTCAAGCAACTCAAATGCTTCAGACGACGAATATAGAAGATTCTGTCGTGCACAGCTTCCAGAAGATCTCATGCCTGATTTTGATTTTGGGGATTTTGTGGAGAATGCAGAGTATGAAGAGCCTGGATCTCTTGATGTTCCTGGTCGGAGTCATATTCCCGCCAGCTGGACTGGTGGTGCTGGAAATGTTGTACCAGGAGAACATTTCACTTACGACGACAGAGCTCATCAGAATGTGTCTAGAGCCCCCACCTACAATCCTTCTGGAACAGTCACCGCTCGGTACAATGGTTCAGAGGGTTCAACCTCTTCCTTGGGACCTGGCTTTGTGAGGCCATACATGCCAGAGCTACGGTCTTCTGTTCAGCAAATGAGTCGTGATAGGCAGTCCGCTTGGACTGATAACAACGAAACAGTGACTGCATTCTCTGAATGGGGTGGATCTGATCTTGCGTTTCCGGAAGATTTAACCCAGGTTGTCGACCCTGTTACTATTCTTGCTAATGAGTTTCCAGGGTTTGCCTCTGATAGTCTTGCCGAGATTTACTACGCCAATGGTGGTGATTTGGCTCTTACGGTGGACATGCTTACCGAGCTTGAGGTGCGGAACAACCTTAGTCATTCTGATGGGCTTCAAACCTTTTCTGCATAACTATGCTGCTGAATGCTTTAGGCTGTTCATGTTTCTGCTTTGTCTTTTCTCCATTAAAGTAGCGGACCTGACAGGCATAGTTGACTTCTCTATCTTGAACTAACATTATATATCTTGCAGCTGCAAAATGAAGGCACCTCGGCAAAGCAATTCCAGGCACCACCTGCGCCTGCACCTCCTTCGCCACGAGATTTTCCAGTTCTACCAGGACTTGAGAACATTTCTGGAAGAGCATCTCTGAGAGAATCTAGATCTGTACCTGATTTTGCTGCAGCTGTGAGGAAGCAAGTAGCGCAACAGGCTGCTCAGCTGCAGTTTGAGAGAAATGGTGGCGTGGATCTCTCTCTTAGTGCTGGACGGGGTTTGTCTCAAGGTCCAGGAGCTGGTGGGTATTCGAGAGAAGCGAGGGTTTCCCACAATGAAAGGTTGGAACCGTTTCACATGCATGGACATGACGTTCAGACTTCTGTACCGTGGTTGGAGACAGGAGAATCTGTGGGTGAGTTGTCTAAGAGATACCCCTTACTGTGAAAAATTTCAAAGATTTTCATGTCCTTGTGTTGCATCCGTTAAGTATTTTGATCGTTCCCGTTACCAACTCTCTGTGTGTGTTTCAGGAAACATGTATTCCGACATGAGAGAGGAAGCTCGTGATCACGCACGTGTCCGAAATGCCTATTTTGAGCAGGTGCGTGTTCTGTACCTTCTTGGGACATTCAGCAGAGTTTGTAGGAGGAATTTAGTTTCGAAATTATTACTTCGCGAGCTTGTGCAATCAAGTTTCAACTTTTGAGGCATACGTATCAACTGCTCCTTAATGTTGCAGGGGTATTCGTATCCTATCGAACATCTGTTGTTAGTTAATTCTGCAAACATTCATTTTGTTGCGTATGCTGCCATTTGTAATTAGAAGGGTGCCTCTGTTTGTCTGGTTACTTTTGCGGACTAATATTACTTGGTTTACGTAGCGTTCTTTCCGTCTTGGATTTGGATGTTGCGAACTAAATAGTGTATGTAGCATTGCAAAGTCATCACTGGCTATTCTGTCGCGAGCAAAAGTACACATAAAATCTAACCGCATTGTCTAGAAGTTCGTTTAGTACTAGAGTTTCTGGTCATCTGCTATAATGTATTGAGAACCAATGTTCTAAGATTGTGTAATCTGAATGTTTCAAACAGGCAAGACAAGCATATCTTGCAGGAAACAAAGCTCTGGCAAAAGAATTGAGTGCAAAGGGACAGTGGCACAATGAGCAAATGAAAGCTGCACACAATAAGGCTGGGGAGGCCATCTTCTGGCAAAGGTTCTGGATGTTGTTGTGATACTTGATGGATCGTGTCTTGTGCCTTCAATTTCTGAATGTCTATCATGCTGGATTTGCAGCATTCTAGATAATCGAAGGGTACTTAGTTGACACTTACAGATTTTGCAATTGAGTGCCTGTCTTAGAGGAGTGTCCCTCTCGTTTTGTGATCGACGCTCATTTTTATGGCTTTGTCTTTTTATGTGCAGAAATTCAAATGCCTATATCAATAACTCTCTAGGGCAGCGATTGATAGACTTACACGGCCTGCATGTGGGTGAAGCAATCCCGTTGTTGAAACGTGAGATTGCGCAGTTGAAATACAACGTAAGAAACACCAGGCAGCGAGAAACTGTCTTCATCTGTGTGGGCACAGGACACCATACAAAGGGTTCGCGAACACCATCTAGGTTACCAGCAGCTGTGCAGAAATACTTGCTTGAGGAGGAGCATTTACAATTTACAGAACCCCAAGCCGGCATGCTTCGCATCATCATAAGATGACGGAGTTTGTCTTTGTCTTATACTGTATTTCAGCTTTTGGCTGGAGAAGCAAGTCCTTGGGCCGTGTCACATGGCCCTGCAAAGTTAGGCAAGTACATTTAACAACTGCTACTGTTTGTAGATGAATCCGTAGGGTTTTCCCTTGGGCTCTTATGTGATCCTTTTTCACTAGCCACTGGGTTTTAGTAGAGCAGCCCTTGCATAGAGGGTATACTTAAACAGTGCTATGTCACTGTCAGTATAATATTTCCATGTTGTGCAGCTTAATATGGTCAGGCACTCTTTTGTACGTGTAACGTTTGTCAACCTACATCTTTTAGAGACGAGGTTATAGCGATATGCATTGAGTGGACTGTTGCCTAAGGCTTGAAATAGGTCTCTCAGTAGGGTCGTCAAAAAACATGTGACCAATGAGGGAGTCTTATAGTATGGTGCCTATTTTTTCAACTGCAGTTAACTCAGTGTCTCAGAAGTCTCAGTAGTCTTTGCAGTGCTCTTTCCTTGCTGCAATGATTTTCCTGTACAGTCAACTCAATGTCACTTTGGCATGGACGTTTTCTTACTGCAAGCGTTGAGCTCTGAGACTCTGCAGGTTTAGATAGGTTTGGACAGATGAAGTGATTGTACATACCGTATACAATCATACTACATCCAGGTCTGCTTATTGTAAATCATTCATTGATGGAAACGTTAGTTTTCCTTGGCCTGCATAGACACAGGGCTGAGCAGCCCCCATTCATGTGACTTGAATCAGATTTTGGGCTTTGTAGAGAATTCATGTCTCTATTTTCAATGTCTAGAATCATTTAAATCTCGTTTCATCTTTATAAACCCAAGTCTATATCAAAACTGCTCCTCACTCTGCATTTGCATTAAGGTAAAGGCTTTTGCTTGGCCATGTTACTAGGGACGGTTGAAACCTCATCTCCGAAACAATACATTCTCCACATGTGGGAAGCCTCATGCATGAAGGGTTGTTAGTTCGAACATGAAATCGGTTATTCTTCAAGGTGAAAGTTGTTTCGGTGTGGTTTAATCATCATTTTAAATATTGCTTATGAAATCATTAATAATTGAAAGATGTTCTCGTGCATCAAATACACAGTATGACTGCTATTATAGCTAGATTGCATAAAATGAAGTGTTTGAATAAGAAATTGTCTAGTATTGGCTAATTGATTTCAATTTTATATGTGTGAAATAACAAGTGAAAGCATTGATTTATTATTTGTATTTTAAATACATCGACAGTTGCATCATTCATGTTCTCAGTTATACGTTACGATGCATTAATTTTCAAAGCAAAAAATATTGTGGTTTAGGAGAATAATTCAAAACTTTTTATTCATTCTTTTTTATACATTCTATGTTCAAAAACAAAGAGAAGTTATACAATGGTATTTTGAAATCTAAGTTTTGAACTCATGATTAGTATTTTAGTAGAAGTTTTTTTATTGAGGATCTTTATTTCAGAAAGCTTTTCTAATTATATTTAGCTTGTTTACATATAATACTTGCTTACATATGAAACTAAGCAAGCAAGCATTATGGACATTATAGGGCCTACATTCTCTGATTTCTCAAGTCAAGAGAATCTTCTAAGTAAAAAAAAGACATGCTATAAGAACATTTATAGATTCGAAGTATGATAGTATGCTGCTACTTTCTTACAATATAAAGCAGAAGCTATATAGATGGATGATTACTAGAACCAAAAAGGAGCTTCCATATGTCATGATTAAGATCCTAGTAGAGAATGATATGTACATAGTCAACTGATAAATAATACCACCTTATAGTGTCTATTATCAACATCAACCAGTCATGGCCTCAAAAAGAAGAATTATATATGATCTGAACCCTCTGAATATAATATTTACATGTGTAAGAGATGCATTCCAAGCTTCTAGATCAAAAGGAAAGTCTGTAGTCCCATCCGCTAGAAAAAGAGTAGGTATCTCGTACAAAGCTGAGAATGGAACAGAGTACCCTTTGATACTAGCACCAAAAGGATGTGCGTTCTATTCGTTTGGAATACAAGATGATTCGTTTTCAGGATCTAGTAACAAAGGAAATAAGAGCATGTGCATTAGCATCGGTGTAAAAGATAAAGATACTAACGAGAATGCATTTTGTGCTAACATACACGCAATATACGATCGTTGCAAAGAATACATCATGAAGCACTCCAAGGAAATTGGTATCAATGTATCAAAAGACGATATGTTTAAGCATCCGTTGAAGGAGTTTAGAAAAGATGGTACCACAACAATGCTGATGTACGCAAAGCTCATTACAAGCAACAAAGACTCAAAAGTATGGACTACCTTCTACAATGCAAAACAAGAAAAAGTAGATTCTAAGTCTTTAAAAGGAGTTCATTGTTGCATATATCCTGCTTTACTCTTCGACTCTTTATACTTTTGGTCTGGCAGTAGGGCTTCTTTACAATGCAAGCTTTCAGAAGCTGTAGTAGAGATAGTAGACAGAGCTACTCCATCACTAGATATGAGCTTGCTGAAGATAAAAGATGAGAAAGTGGATGTATAAAAAACATAAAAAACAATTTTTGATTACTTTCTTAAATAGAATATTTTCGTACACAAACAATACTGTACATCAACATTAAGTTACGTTCTATCTATACGGTACATCTTGTGCTCAAGCTAAAATAGTAATGACGTCAACCATGGAAGGAATGAAGGGAAAGCTTGTACTGTTTGGAAAGATTGGAGAAGAGGTCTACTACTGCAAATGCTCTTGTAACAGGAGGAATAGACAACATTCAATTTCCGATCAGTGACGGATTACAAGGATGTACGTTGAAAATAATCATAAAACATTAGATTCTTTATTTGTTTTTTAATTTATCTCTTCTTCTTTTTTAATGTCTTCAACACGACAGACATTTTCAATTACTTACATTCATAAAAATCAAGTTTACGAAATTTAAGTAAACGTGAAAGTTCGTAACAACAAAATAGATTTTTCGTTCGAACAATAAGACGTAAAGCATTACACTGAAAGTTATTTATTCGGTCACTAAAATTCCCAGTGCTAGAAAAATGATTGTGATACGATGTCAAAGTTACTAAAATGCTCAAGTGTGAACACAACAAACACTATGAATGCAACGGTGTTCTTTTCAAGTATTAAAAGTAAAACACGTTAAATAAACAATGAATATGGCATGAACGTCGGAAGCAAACTTTAAATCTTCACCATATATTAAAAACTACAAAAAAAAAAAAAAAAAAAAAAAAAAAACCTCACCTTCCACTGTTTTTCCAATCTTCATAGTTTAATCAAATTACAGATAATTTTATCTGCAGTGTTCAACATATGTTTTAAGCTCCAACGACAAGCAAGCATGCAATAGGACAGGGAAGCATTCACAATCCAGCATAACAGGACACAAACGGTTGAGATTCGTAGGAAACGAATGCTCATTTGCCTGATTTCATTACAACTGTTTCACAGCTCCCTTAGTCAAAAACATATTAAACGACCGTCCATAAACTTAGATCCTCTAAGAATCATCTTCATAGCCTCGCAGGGTTTTTGCCTGATACTGAAGTCCAGGCTATTGGTGGAACCAACAGGGTGAGCATTTCTTCAACCTGGGTTCTCTAATTCCATGAATGTTTCGTTAATGGCTCCTTTGAATTTACACCCAGAACGATCCCCTGATCAAGAGCCACAACAACCAGAGGGTGTACTGATACCGATACACTCCCAACTCACTCTACTTACCAGGTCTCGGTTGATAAAAGTTGTGGCTCTGTCAATAATTGCTGGTTCTAAAATGCACTGCAAACGCTGCCTCTTGACTACTACCTTCTGAGCGAGACTAAGCATGATCATAGTGGCGAAGCCTGAATAGCAGTGCCTTACCAGCCCCATTTCCAGTTGCGAAGTAACCTCCTCCTGGACTGAAGGCCATGGAATGAACATACTGCAGCGGTGTCTTTAGGGTGGGCCAATTCGAAAACACCGTCTGGGATGGAACATGAATCAGGCGTACTGAATCTTTCTTCATACGAGAACTGATGGCCAGGATCTGTGAGTCAGGACTGAATCTCAAGTTATCCACAGACGTTGTCAAATTCATAAATGCCTTCAATGGCTTCCGGACGCCGCCAAGAAAACTCTCTCTATTGTACAAGTTGACAACACCGGCACTTGATCCCGTTGCAAAAATTTTACTATCAGGCGACACCTGCAACGCCGTATTTTTAACACACCCTTCATCTGGTGCCTTGTGGATGCATCTCCGAGTCCTCAAATCCCAGTGATAAACCTCACCGTCGCCTCCAATACTGAGTAATTCTTTCCCATCTGCTGCAAATGAGAGATGGCTAGTACTACCTGTCATGAGATAGTTTTCATTTTGTGAGAAGAGACTCCAAAAGTAGCCTCATTGACCCAGGATGACCGGAGGTCTAACCTGGACGTCAAGCTACCCTCTAACAGGTGGATGCGTAGAACTCTCAAGCCATAACTTGAGGCACTAAAAGAAACATAACACAACATAAAAAGCGAAAATAATCGACAAGGCTTACGAAAAAATCAACAATGTTGCACCTGCCCTCAGAAACAACAAACTGGACTGCGACTCTACGTAGACGAACACATGTTAAAGATTAAAAAACGAAAAAAAAGAAAAAGAAAGACGAAGCTCAAAAACTCACCATTCATCTTCAAAGTGCCGATACATTGCCTAGAACGCAGGGACGCCAATATAATATAGCCTTCATTACCGGTAAAGGCAACAATCTTGCCATCTGGAGATACCTCGAATCTCTCTAAACTCTTTTCTTCACGGCCAACCATACAATTCACTCTCTCTACCTTCCCAGCTTGTAGATCATACACAAAAAAGAAGTTTCGTCTTCCTGCCGCTACCACTCCAGACCCATCAGGTACAAAGGCGGCTTTATGAATTGGAAAATCTTCCAAGAATATACCTTGAACCTTAGGGTTCCTCTTGCCATCAATCTACAGACCACAGAACGATGAATATTCTTACACGATTGTATGAATAGTGAAGTATTTCAACACTGAATTCCAAATTAACCACATGCAGCTTACAGATTTACTTTTATATTTTTGTTTCATATTCTTAGTTTTATTTTTTTGAACACAAAAAATGGCTAATGTATTTCCTCGACTCAAACTCATCCACGCTTCTAACTCTGTATTACACGAATATATCACGTACTCTGGAAAATCAGCAATTCTATTACCAACAAGCAGAGGAGATCAAGCCTGGGCGGAGAAAAACCTGAAAAAATCTCAATTTCTTATCAAATCCAGCTGTCAGCAGCAGCTGCCCATTGCTATGAAAATCAACCGATTGCACAACCGCATCCGAAGGCTCCACAATATTGGCATCCTTCACACGAGACACTTCAATTAGACCCTGAGGAAGCCGACCCTTGTTCTTCACTACCAAGTCGCTGTGCTCAAGCAACAAACCCCGCTGGTTCTCCTCCTCCTCACCCTCATACTCCTCCTCCTCCTCGTCCTCCTCCGCACCCAATCCCAGTCCAAAATCATCCCCGCCCTCCTGCCGCCGCTTCTTCCTCTGCCAAGGAAGCTCAGCCCACGCGGTACTCGGGTTCAGCTTCGCATGGTGAGCACGCAACCGGGCAGCATACTCCGAAGCAGGAATCACCAATTCGTCCGCGGTAGTCCGCAGCTTCTTCAGCCGACTCGCGGCTTTGAGGTCCACCACCACGGCAGCATCATGCTCATCCTCCCACGCCGGTTTCCTCTCCTCCCGCTGCTCAATTCCTGCTCCGGCGACGATGATCTTCGATGCGCTGGGCTCCTCCACGGCGTCTGTTGTTGGATCGTCCTCGGGCTCCTCCGGCTTCTCACCCATCACTTCCTCCAGGAGAGACTCCATGTTCGGCTTGATGACGGCATAGGCATTGGCATCGGCATCAGCGGCGACAGCTTCGGTTCTGCCACGCTTCTTCATTGTCCTCTCACACTCTCTCTCGAGGCGCCCTTGAGCGCGGTGCCTGCAAAAACCGCAACAAAGAGAACCTTTGAGCTTCTTCTGCGACGTCGTGCACGATGATGCCCAATTCCTAAAACCCTAAAACCCTAAACCGCTTGGTATGGGTTCTGTTCACACAGCGACAGTGAGTGATGGACTCGATCGGGGGTTCGATCCAGCTCAGCCCTATTTAGTGTGCCACCTCGTCTTTCTGGTGGAGTGGTGTGGTTGTGCCTGATTGTTTTCAAGGGTTGGGTGGTCGTTAATTAATTAATTAATTAGTTAAATATATAATTGAATTAATCTTTCTTTTGAATAGTTTAATGTGAGAGTTTAGATACTATATTTCCTTTCATTGCAATTTTTTTAAATAAATAGAATTAGTGCATTGTATTATTATTAATAATAATAATAATAGTGATAATAAACCAATATCTTAATATCACTTTGATATATGTGTATAACAATATGGGTTTTTATTTTTTATTTTATTTTATTTTTTTGATGTGAAAATAAAATGAAGTAGTTTGTATTTCTTTTACATTGAAATATATTGACACATTGAAATAAAAAAATGATGTAAAGGTTGCAGAACATGGTAAAAATCTGTCTACTCTAATAATAATGATGATGAAACTACAATGCATTAGAATCGATTTGCTAAAATCAGTTAAATTAATATTTGATCCGTCTTGCAATATATATATATTTTTTTATTATACATATATTATATAAAAAATCATATATAATCAAAGAACTTATTCTTCTTTTCTGCAAAACTTTAGGAATGTGTTTTTAAGATTTTAATACCATACTTCTTTTTATAAACATATAGTATTTTGGAATCGACTACAAATTGAATGTATAATTGAATCTACCATTACAATCTTGACAAATTGTTGCATTAATAACATATGTTTTGTGTTGATTTACTAATAGATATTTAAGTATATACTAATTGAAGAGACTTTTGTTCTAGATTTGAAATATCATAAGTTATTTTAAAAGTCTCTGGTGACTATTATCTGTAGTGAGGCAAATTCGAGTAATAGCAGAAATTAGTTATGGCAAAAGCGATGTTTAGAGGATGGGAAAGGGGAACTCCACACGGGAGTAAGCAGATTAATAATAATAATAATAATAATTTTTAAGAGGAGCGATGGAGCACATGTGATCAAGCTCCGGAGCTTCATTTACAACATCTGCTCCGGGATGTGCTTGATGTGTCTAGGATCACAATTTTACGGTCTACACTAGGCTATATGGGTGGTCAACACTTTCCGCAACTCTTACTGATTCTCCATGATTTAGAAATTTGTGGGTAGTCTTTCAGTAGATGCGAGGTTTCTGAGCGACATATCCCGCTGTGTGGAACTCATTCAAAGAATCACTCTGCTTGCAAGTCATTTCCACTGATGTACACAGGAAAATTCGGCGTCTGGACGGCCACGATAATGCTAATGGTAGGTTAACTTTTTCTCTCCTGGTCTACGCACAAGGTGCGAAAACAAGAAGTGTACAAACTCAAGAAGCACCTTCTAAATCGTATAAAAACCCTACAGACTCTCACTCGTTTGGTACAAGGAGTTGAACACTGGTTTTTGTGTCTTGGCAGAATACCACACAGTCGTTCCAGTACAACCGAAGAGGGGGGGCGACACTAGAATAGCACTCCTACGCCAGTACTTTTCCTATGTCTGTTGTGCTCTCGCCATCAATGCGCCGTGCAAAAGATGAAAGAACCTGAAGAAAACGCCATCTTAGCATGTAACACAAAGCCTCTCTCTCTGTCATGGGAGTAAAATCTTGCCAAGTTTAGCAATTGCGGTTTCGAAAAATGTGTACTTTAACTAGGGGTTTGTACCACACGGAGCGAAGTGCTTAGAAATCTTAAAGTTGTGAACTATACCTTGACCACTCTATTCGCTTCGAGCTAAAAAACTTGCTTCATATACCTGTTTGATTAGTTACACCCTTCCTACTTACTAAATAACAGAGACGCAAAATACTTGTGTTCGCGACTTACGTTACACACGAATGAGATGTTACAAATGCCTATGACAAAACTAAAAGTCTGACGTCTAAATAATTGTAATTTTTTTAAAACTTAGAGACTTTATTTATTTACTTCTCTTGTGAAAGTATTGAAACTAAAGATAAAAGTTGTTTAATAAAAGCAAAAATAAGTAGAAATGGTATTTACAGCTGTCAAAAAATAGAACTACGGTTAACCAATTAGTTAAAGATAATCCATTTCAATTACAAAAATATATCCACTTCGTTTATCTTCATTTTTAAATTGTTTCTAACTGAAACTAGAACAAAGACAATCTTAGAGGACAATTGTAAATAAAGCTTATGTCTTTCAGTCTCACACTTTATACCTTCAATTAGTATTCTCCTAAAATTATGATCATCTTTCTCTTCTACACTAGAAAGTTGTATTCATTACAAAATTCTATATTAACTCTCTCTCATTTACTTCTTCATTCTCCAAATATTTTTTTCCCACCCATTCTGTTACTCATTCTGTTAGATGGTACTTGGACAACAGTAAGCGCGGAAGATGAGCTTGACATAATACAGAAGATAATATCAAAGTCAAAGCGTTCTAGAGAGATAATGGAAACAAAGCATAAGATATATGCTATATGATAACATTCCCTGTTATCACCACAACAACAAAAATGAATTCACAAGAGTATAGCATTAACATTAAATACTGCAATTCCGAAACAAGATTAAACACGATGGTCACAAACATTTCAAACTTTCCGGCATGATAACTAGTTCGAGAATCAGGGAAACGTAGATTCTACGTCTGCAAAACAGTAGGAAATTCTCAATTCTATGACTATCCATGACAGAAGGGCTGTAATGACTTGAAAAAAACAAAGTAAATTTTCATTCCGGAAAGATTAGTAACAAGACACAGAATGACGAATCATCTCTTGCAAGCACCACACCACCTAAATAAATCGTGTTTCAGCTCGAGATTGGTGCTACTATGAAACTGCAAAACTAGAATTGCAAATTATCTACACCTTTTAACCATGTTTACATGCAAGAGTTCAAGCCAAAGCAGTGAAATCGACCAATGTTTTTTTAGCCTGCAGGTAATGAAGCATGCAATGCTTGGGAAGTAGATTGGCTGCACTCACATTGTGCAGTTGGATCCCGTCAGAAAACTTAGTGCCGCATTTGAGAGAGGACCTGCTGTTTAAACTGATTAAACTGCTGGCTTTCGTGTTGTGGGTTTTGTAAGTGGTCCTCTAGAGTCTCACTGCCAAGCATTTCCTCTCAGAATTCGTTTTGCTCAATTTGCGAGTCGGGTTCTTCTGCTCTCCCGAACAGGTTCTCCTCCCCTTCATTTCATAGTTCGAACAGGAAGGTCCTCGTTACTGTGGACAAAGATCAACCGATTTGTGTTTAAATAGTAGACCCTGCAATTCGTAACCCTCCCATTTGAATCGATACAACAAGGCACGTTCCCTGCTGAGAAAACATCTCGGTTCCTCCTGCATCAACCTCTTCGTCTTCAACACCATGGTTGTGAAACCGATCTTCATTCCTCTCGAGTCCTACATCTTTTTTAACTCAATATAAGCTTGTCATGTCCCCCAACTTGATCCCAATGGCCACACGGTTAACTGCACAAACTGAAGTTGTAAATTCACTCAACAAGCCCTTTTTAAAACAGTGTTTGCACTGTGAATATAATCCCGCGAACCTCTTGGAAACTGCATCAAACCAAAAATGCGAAGACAGAATTCTTTCAGACGTGGCGCCACTTCAATGACATTCCCTGAAAGAGGCCTATTATTTTCTGGAACGACAAAATCACCGAACATGAGAACCATACAGTACACACCCTTCTGACATCCTTCCATACACTTTAAAACAAAACTGCTTGCCGAAACTCAAATGCGCATAATCGGGGTGTAGTTTCTCCTCAAACTCAGAACCTTTACAGGTTTCTGCAGTGGATCATGCAGGAGAACACCCGACCCAAGTCCAGCGGCCGAGACACACCATGCATGCTACAGGGTCCAGCAAACACCGGTAGCGTACAACCACTGCAGCAAATCGCAGCAAATGCAGGGCGACGAGGTGATTCACAACCCCCAAGTCCTATCCAGCGATTGGTACCCATGACGCCACAATCAGGCGGAATGAATTGTCAGTCACCCATTCCCTAGCAAGAATATTCTATCCAATACATATTGAATTGATTACTACTGTGAAGGCGAATACCGCCAAATTCACGCAGCCCCGCTTTTGTCCTCATGATTTGGCGGTGATGGGTGTGGCAGTTATTGTACGAAATCCAAACACTTGTATCCGTTTGTTTATGTCTACGTCTCTAACAGGTATTGGAGTTGAGAACAAATCACAAGTCACAGTGTGTCCATGACCCTTCGCTTCATGGGTGCTTCGTCTAAGTGGAAACCCGACCAGTGGGATCGGTGGTGGACCTCACAGTATCCAACATGTGAACAAATTTTTGCCACGTTTGGCACTCTGGCGATTGAGCAGACACAAAAAACGACCCTTAATTTCGGCTGCGCAACCAGCATCAGCAATATTATATGTATTTTCAATAGGGTCTGAACGGAGGTGTACCATTGTAATCCTACGCACATGCCTTGAATAGGGTGCAAAGTGCATCTCTGCCACCTAGCATGTTCCTTATCAACAATGTGGTTGCGTTACAACCTGAACTAAGATGTGTCTGAAACGAGACGTTCATTGGAATTCGGCACCGATTAGTCTCTCGGACACCTTGGGTAGAGGCCAAGTCAAGGAGCAAGGATCTTTTCGCTCCATCAAACAAGGGTGCAGGTTTCTCGAGTGTGTTCGAGATCAAATTCCGTTCCAAGCAGTTTACAGCTGTGCAACTTGGCCGAGTGCTCATGCCACCTCTGGAATCGTTGTAGTAAATCAAGTAAATCGTGCTAATTTGAAGCCAGTGAGTTTTCCTATGTACTTTTACATCGTAACGTCAATTAGACATCGAGTAGGTGCGTTGCTTTTCGAAATCACCTTAGTTAATCCACGAAGATATACAGGTCTTAGACAAAGGGGTTAGAATTCTGGGAGTCCGCAATGAAACAAATGACAACAAGCACAGAAGCTTAGAGGCACACGAAACACAAGTCTTATTAACTATAACAACAAGCTTGGAGAGGTCTAGACTTTTCATTTGTTGAATTTTTTATATTCCATATATACATGGTGTAATTATTTGATCAATTCAGTCGTTCAAGATGGCGCTCAAGGAGCACACCATTTTTCTAAACTCAAACCTCTCGCTAGCAACAACCAACGCTAATTACAAGTCCGATGACAACACCAGGCTGAGGAAAGCTCGGATTTGTGACTTATGAAACAACGCGTCCAGCCTTGGTCTGAAGAAACGCAGCGCGGCAGCCCTCGCTTGATGGGAAGCTCACCCACACCTCGTTGACACGGCCCAAGATCTTAAACGGGCTGCTGTACTGTGCAATGGTGTAAGCATCCTCACCATCCTTTGGCTCGTTGTCGGTGATGTTGGCCCACTGTGTCTTCTGAAGGCTAGCTTCCAGAGCAGCTGCTTCCTTGGCGACATTGCTATCCTTCGCAAAGCCTGTGAAAGGACGGGCTGCTATGCACTTCTCATCCCAGTTCTCAACTGTGAGATCGGAATCGATGAGGGGCATCGGTGGGTCGTCCTGATACTTATTTGGCACGTAAAATCGAATGGCAAATGCAGAGGAGCAAAATGGCCCAGCAGAGGGAACAATTCCTGTCAGCACAGGAGTGGTCATTTGAACTCGAGAGTTGTTGACGTTAGCACCTTGAATATACTGAAACAATCTGCTCGCGACAACACGACAGCCAGTTGTTACATAGTCATATTCAACATAGCTCTACCCAAAAAATTACAAGATGTCAGGAAAGGATACAGTAGTGCAGACACAAATGATTCCACAGTACTTAAAAGGAAAGTGTCATTATGGATGCAATTGAAATCAAAAGAGTCGCACGACATGCTATAATCACAAGAGATACACTTGAAATTAACTAGGAAGAAATGAAACTACAGATTGGTAATAATGCTTTGTGGACATGATAGATTGTCCGTCCGAAAGAAAGAAAGTTCTTGCTCACAACAGTCAATTCGTAATATGTTATTTTTAGCATCTGTCCCTCTCAAGCTCTCTCTCTCTCTCTCTCTCTCTCGTCAGGAATATAAAGAAGAATTCTTCATCCTGGTTAAGCGAATTTCGAGTTTCAATCTTGTATTGTGACCATACTTTACTGAACAAAAACCAGATTTTACAACATTGTGCCCTCCATGTCATCAATATGTCTCTCAAAATACCAGAGAAATCTCGGAAGGTGGCTCTTTCGCTTCCCTCACAAGGAATAGAGATACAAATAAAAAGACGCAGAGGTGTGCTAGACCATCATCCAGAAAGTATTTCCTTGCAGCAGTTATGCTACAAGGCCGGCTTCCACTCAAAACCCTACCCGCTCTGTTTACCGAAACCGTAGGAAATAAAGAGGCGGATAAATGCATGAAGCTTACTTGTGAAATCCAAGCTGGGTCGCCTTGCTGAAGGAGATATCCTCCACAGGAGTAGAAATCCATGTCGACGCTCGGTACAACCGAATCTCGAAGTCCGATTCCGCATGGATCACAGTATACTGTGGGGATTCAATGCTGTCCACGGCAGGTGCACCAGCAACTACTGCTGCCATAGCCAGTAACATCCACACACACATCTTGTAACCCATCCTTCGTCAATCAGAATACAACGCACGACTGCAAGGTGGCAACAGTGAGCAACAATTAGGCCCTCTCCAGCAATTCCCATTGCAACGCCCCCCATCCAGCACATGCCTTCAATCACACGAAACATACTATCCCACTGAAATTTACCCAAATTAAGAAAGCGCTGATCCCCCTAGGACTCTCTCTTACCCCCAAACCCGTCCACAATCAAACAATCCAACGCCACAATACCTCAATCAACCGCCGCGACAATTGAGACAACCAAACGAAGGAAGCAGTGCCTCAAAACAAACAGTCTCTGCCAAGTTGTGAAAGACCCATGTGACCCCCACACGCTACCTTCGAGATTACTCACCGCCAATTGTCAGAATTGTGCAGACTAGAAGCCTGCAGGGTATTTCGTCAAGGTGGGTATGAAGGCGAGCATGCGCAGAAGAGAGAAGAAATGCGGTGACCTGTATCCGATCAGAGATTAATGTACCCCCGCCGAGGTCTGTGTTCGCATCTGGTCCCTCGATTCGGGTGACCGTCAGCCTCTTTCCGTGAATGGATCTCGTCGATGACGTCACATGAAATGTATTGGGGTCCACGTAGGGTTCAGAAATAGAGGCTCCATGACAGATTGCTCCATGACAGATTGCTCCATGACAGATTGCTCCATGACAGATTGCTCCATGACAGATTGCTCCATGACAGATTGCTCCATGACGAAGGGCACCCCGCACATGTCAGATTGCCGCCACCTGGTTGTATGCATTCCAACATTTGGAGATCGCTTCCGATAGCCGTGTCAATGCTTGAGGCCATCTGATATGGATTAGGCGAAGCACTTGCAACGAGGGGTGCGTCGGCAATGAGATATGCATGAGTCGTCTGCGGTAAAAGATTTGGGGAAGTCAAGTTTAGTAAGCAGTCCACTGATGAATTTGAAGTCAATTACGGTTGAGAGCATTGCTTATTACCGGTGAAGGTGCTAGACTCTGTTTGGAAGAAAACTTCACGTTGAGTTTCATTGCTAATTGTCTGGAATGATATTGCGGTACAACCCTTCGAGAACATACCATTCAGTCGGAACAACGTCAATTTCTCCACTGAGCAGATACCATTTTTCTTCTCTTTAAGTGGTGGTTGTGAGACCAATTACTACCAGAAGACTTAAAATCAACCACCTCATGCAAAAAAGATGGGTTTAAATATTCTTTGTAATTTATTCCTTCTATTGTACACTTCAACTCCGATGCTTTATGCCCGAGTCGCTTTGTACACATGGCTTGATACAGATGAGACATGAAAGCCATTTCTAATTTCAATATTTTACATTCAACAGAGAGTGAAATCAAGCTCCAAACATGCATGATCTTTTAGAGTTGTTCACTTCCTAAGTTTTTGCGTAGTTGCGAGTCTCAGGCCACCACACCCGCGCGCAGAATTACGTTGTGTCGTTGGAATTCAGCCGGACACCAACACCAAAAAAATAAAGGGCATCCGAATCATTGTCTTCATTTGCTCACACACCTTCCACTAAGTTTAGCTCGACAGATCCTCAAAAGTTAATCAATTCCCTTGAAGTAATTCAAAATTGGTGCGCCTTCCAGAAGCTATCTCCTAGAGATACTTTGAAATCAACTTAATGAACACAACCTGATTAGTTTGTGCAGAGACAACCCACTTCCTTAAAGCAAATGGAACATATGTAGAGGGTGTTGACAAGGGTCAGTTCTCTGGATCGGATGATGATCAGTGCGTGGAAGCATTTATCAGCTTGTTGTAGAAGAGGTTGTGTACCTCAGCCACTTCCAACCGCCAGAATTTATCTCTACCAGGACTTGATGATAAATCCACGATCTTATGCACCTGAGCAACCAACAGAGGTCAAAGTATGAATTAGAGGGACTCAAAATGCGACCTTAGATTCCAAAGTCAAAGCAGGAGAAGAAAACACGAGTACTGGAATCACGACTATACATACCAAGACGAATGGAGATCCATCAGCTCCGATCAGGTAAGCCCCCACAACCAGCACGTACATCCCTACACATCAACTTTGAAAATCAGCCCATTGATCCCAAATGATACGTGGACAATAGATCTAAACCCTAAACATCAAGAGAGAGGAGGTACATTTAAATATCCGCAAACATATCATAGCGATGCATACCAGGTTTCCATGACTCAGCCCCCATTTGAAGAGGTATTGAGCCTGTTCCATCCTGCAAGAAAAAGCTTCCTTTATCCGCCCCCTGCACTAATACTCCCTGCAAAACAACCACGAATTCCTCATTCGTAAACATCCATACTCAAAGACAAAAACCGAGAGAAAAATTAAGAATGCAAGACCAACTCTTGGACTTGTCCCAGTGGATCAACTAACTCGTTAACAATTTAACCTGGGCCCTAGCCAAGCACTCTCCCATGCATACGGAATGAGGTTTGGACGCAAGAAAGAAAGAAAATAAAAATAAAAATAAAACTAAAACAACAACAACAACAAAAAAAAAAAAAAAAAAAAAAAAAAAAAATTAGACACATGCAGTGTCTCATTACACCAAGTGTATGCTGAAAACGAATGCTTTATCCAATAACGCATCTTATTACGAAGATTTCTTTCCCATCCAGCAATACCGGAAGAAAGTGACAAATAAAAACCAGAGGTACACACCAAAATTTTCAAAATCGACTTACAGCTATCATTCACAAACTACCATCCTCAAGACAGAGTTCTGTGCAGGCAAGAAAATCCAATCGTTTCAGCACAATTACTACAGGCAAGAGCACTGACCGAGGAAAAATAGTAGAAACACTTGGATCCGTCACAATGCATCCAGATAAACAGCATGGTTTGAACAACACGAAATTCCGAACAGAATGAGGAAGAGAGTGATCGAGTAACCTGTAGCCAAGCGCGTTGGAAGACAAGCGACCCTATCGCAAACGCCGTTCCACCGTTCTGCGTCAACTCAGTGGCAGGTTTTGCAGGTTTTAGATGCGAAATGAACATTTTCACAGCAGCCAGGGAGTAATCCATGACTGCTTCAGCTTCCTCCCACGAGCAATGATCATTCACAACCTACATGACGTGATAAATTCGACAAAATGTCCTCCACACAAGCAACAGAGGATTGAAACAACGCAACAAGGCGTGCTCAAGCCCCTCGACGCCCCTCTTGGCTCCTGATGCCCCAAACACGTCGAAGAAACCCCGATATTCTGTCGACAAATGAACGAACTAGTGAACAGATGAACAGATGAACGAAGGCTGTTCGTTCGTTCGTTCCTGTCGTCCTCAGTAACCAAACTGGAAATGTATGATGTTTTCACCCCATTTGCAAAAGTCTTATGAGGTTTAATAGCTTTTACTTTTAGAGGTGTTCCCATTGTATTTGACAAGTTCCCTTTTTATTTTCTTGTTTTGGAATTCTTGGTAAATGATATTTCAAGATACTCTAGAAATGAAACAAAGTGTTATTAATTCATCTTTTGTTATCTTTGGTGTCATGGGTGAGTAGTGGTACATTTTTTTTTTCATCTTATTTTTTTAATTACGAAAATAATTAAAAATATATATATATTTTGGGAAATTCTTGCAATTCATTTATTTTTTAAATTAATACTGGTGTTAAAAAAGCTTCTAGATATGTTTATGTAGGAACAAAATAGATATGTGTATGTGTGTATATATGATGAAATAGATATTTATTTAGAGCATACATACATGTACAATCTACAAATTACTTTTATAAATTTTGTAATGGTCTTTATTTTCTAAATCATTATTTTTACAAAAAATAAAAAATAAACCATTATAATAGCATCATGCAACTTGAACACATTTCTTATGAGTCTTGTGGCTTGCTAATTAATATATATAGAGGCACAATTTAATATTATCAATATTTTTCTTTTGCTTGAGTCTTGGTTTAAGTCACTCTAATCTTTTGTATTTTACAATATCCATTATAATACATTCTTTTTGAATTAATATTTTTTTCTATTTTTATATTTTATATAAATATACTATTTTAATGAACATATCCAAATTTATATCCTTGATAATTAAAGTTTTATGAATATTCACATTAACATATCTATAAATTGATGAAGCAATATTGTATTATAACACAACTATTGGACAAAAGAGAAAAAAAGAATAATTGTATTATAAAAGAGTTTAAATGAAAATATAGTAGCAATTTACTTTAGAAACATAGGTAGAAATTAAGAAGGTAGTAAAAACAATTTAGTGTTAATGCTGTTTTTTTAAATTAAATGGGCTTTTACTTGCTTTGTATGACCATGAACAAGACAAAAAAAAGAGTAGGGTAAAAGAGATAATATTATAGATATCTTTAGATGAAATTAATTATTAGCTTTCAACAAGAATAACCTAAAAAAAACTTTAGATTAATACCAAAGAGGACCAATTATATATCATGACCAAAACTAGGCCTTGAAGTACAAAACTATGCACTTGTAAAAAATTTAAAAATATAGATATTTCTTATTGATCAAAGAGAGGAATTAGAGAGCAGACTTAATAGTATGTCTTTGAACATACGTTTTGAAGAATTCGAATGGGTAATGACTTTGTGAGAGCTTTGCAAAGTTAGGATTGTTTTGAGTGACTCTATTTTTAGTGGAATAAAATAAAATAAACAATTATGGATTGTATGAGATTTTTAGTAGATCTACATGAAGTTAGATGAATTTATGAATGTAGTTGTGTTTGATGTCTTTGATATAATTAAGCTTAATTCAAAAATCAAATTAATTAAGTTAGACTCTCAAAAATTAGATTTTGAAGGTAAGTGAAGGTTTCTATGATTTTATGTAATTTGCTTGTTGGATTGAAATGTTTTCTATTGTGTGCTAATAATTGGCCTAATTTGTAACATTCTTGTAAGTTTTAAAAGCAAGAAAATAGTAAAAAAATGAGTTATTCATGTTGGAAGGTTGACATCAAGATTGGAAAAGGAGGATGGCCAAGACTTGAGACTAACCTAATGTCTAGTACATTTTGAGACTAATTTTTACATAAAAAAACAATGGTTATATTCTCTTGAGATTAAAAATAATAGATTTTATGGTGTTATGTATTTCACTTAAGAATTAATATTCTTAAGTAGTTTAATATTTTGATTTTGCCATCATAAAAATAATAAAATAATTGTGTTGGATGGATGCATTGCAGAATTGAATGACATGCTTTGATAACACAGTGCAACTTTATGATGAAAATAGATGAAGATGAGAAGATAAAATAGTGGAAACTTCATTCATGGCCAATTGGGATATGTGAATGTAATTCATTTATGTCATTACCCTTAGATACATTTATTCTTTATAAAGAGATAACAATGACCGTTTGTATTCAATAAATTTCATATATATGTATATATATATATATATATATATATACATTCCTTAGAGTAGAATTTTATTTTATTTTATACAAATAATACTTGTACAACTCTACTTACTGTATACAAAACTTTTTAGGAGGTCATTCAGAATCAAATATGTGTTATCATCTTGTACAGTACAATGATTTTGAAGTTACTAATGTAACTAGATATTTATAAATAAACATATTCAAACATTTTTCATATGTTTTTAAACTATTAATTTGATGATTATAGAGTTCATTAAAAAGATCATGGTGCAATAATTGACATCTTATTGAAATAAATCATTTTTAGAGTTTATTGATACAATTCATATTAATAATAAGAAGCCCCAGACTCAAGGGGTCTATGTTCATTCAAGCATTCAGTTTATTTTATTTGTTTTATTTGTTTTTTCCTTCTGAAAAACTAATTTCCAACCATTCCATCATTGCATTAACAAACTGCCTATATATATATATAGATATATATATAATCATTGTTTAATTAAGAAAAAAAGTTTGTGAACGTATGTTATAAGAATATGCTCATTTGATCCAGCTTATATTTTAAGGTAATTTCAGGTAAAAATCAATAAATTGAAATACATTACAACTCTGATGTATTCAAATATTAAGAATAGTAAGAATACAATTTTTATATCAATACTATAAAAATAGAAAAATAGACACTAAATCATGTGTCATATTTTCATATTCAAAACCCTTATATATGTGATACAAAAATATTATAAAAAATCTAGACATGAATTCACGTTTTTTTATATCATAGAAGAACCGTTCAGGTAGACGACCCATTTCTGACCACTTAAGCATTTTAACATATATGCAATATGGATACAATGAATTAAAAAAAATTCAATGTGTAGGGAAATAGAGATCAAGAGGATTCCAAGCTTTTTCACATCTTTTCGTTCAAAAAACAAAATTATTATGAATTTTTCAACTGAAGATTTTGGTTGTCCTAAACTTGTCATATAGATTAACCTAATTCCGACCAATGGTTGGTTACAAAATTGAGAATGCTTGATTCCAGCCAAATTTTCCAAATTGGCATGTAATTACCAAATGGCAATACAGAGTTGAGACGAAATGTGCACTAAGTAATGTGCACACAAGGTGTTAGAACCCATCAATGATTCATGTCAAGTTCATAGAAAATAGACCATTTTATATGACAAAAATGGGGGTGGTCCGGAATGGGTCGTCAACCTTACATGTCCAATTTTTGCAACATTCACGCTCTTGAATTGAATTGGTACATTCCAACGGATAATGGACATTTTCGCAGTGTTAAAAAGCAAAAGTGATACCGAAAAAGTAAAAAAAAGAAGAAGATGTGCGTGATGGGCATTTCGGGGCCAAGAGAGCGCGCAAACGAGAGCGCCGGCGGGGAGCGTCATTGCGTCGTCGTGGTTTAATTTCAAACTATCCAGCTGGATTCCTCACTGTTCCCCCTTCCGAATTTAGGGTTTCACGGATCCCTCCGTCTTCACTTGCTTCTTCGATCCATGTCCTCAATTGCACCAGGCCAGGCAATCAGCTTGAGCACCGATCCAATGAGCCTCGCCACGACTTCTGTCGACGTTGCAGCAAAGAAGCTGAGTCGGGGTTCGATTAATTTGCAGTTGTATTGAATGTTTCTGATGGTCGGAGTGAGCGGAACGGGATCTTACAGAGGCTTGCAATCGCGGATCGCGTGAGGGGAAGCATAAGAAGAAGATGGAATAGGGCGTTGTATGAGGGGAGGGGTTGGAATCTACATTGATCGGGGCTGGTGGTGGTGGAGTTTTGATGGAGACGATAGCGGAAGGGCTGTGGGAGTTGGCGGAGGAGCACGAGAAAGGGGGTTGCATAGCGCAAGCTGTGAAATGCTTGGAGGCGATTTGCCAGAGCCAGGTGTCCTTCCTGCCCGTGGTGGAAGTCAAGACGCGGCTTCGAATTGCGACGCTTCTGCTGGAGCATACTGATAATGTTACGTATGCTAAGGCGCATTTGGAACGTGCGGTAGGTGGTGCGCAATTTTGGTGTCGGTGAATGCAATTGCTTCGTTCGTCTTGTTGTGTGCTCCTTGTAGCTTGCGAATGTGGCCTCTGAAGACTCTCATACGCGTCGAATCCGTCTTTGAGACATGTGCGATTTGTGTTTGATTCAGAAGAAATGCGAATTTGGTGTTAAGTCTTTTCTTCCTCGTTAAAATGGCCAATCGGGGCTGTATACCTGTAGTTTAGTGGAGAGTTCTTGCCAATTAGTTGCTTAGTTGATGTTCTTCGAGTTCTTTGGCGACCCCTGACTGTTTTATTTTCATTTGCTTTTAAATTGTTCATTAGGTGGGTTTTTAGTGAATCATAAGCTTCAAAGCAACTGAACTCTATCAGTGTTTCTCTCTCGAGCATCCATAGTTAGTATTGGCTTAGCTTTTGTTCACGGGAGAAAAAACGGGAGCATTCATATTGATAGGGTCATCAGTCCAATGAGCGGAATATTTAGGTATAGTTTAGCTGAATTAGCTGGAGCGTCTGAGTGGATATCTCTGATTCTGCCAGTTGTTGTTTCCCTGTACTCGAGTCAAATTGATCTTGTTGTCTTTGTTCTGGCTGCAGCAACTATTATTGAAACAAATTCCAACTTTTTTTGAGCTGAAATTTCGAGCTTACAGCCTATTAAGTCGATGCTACCAACTGGTGGGCACTATTGGGGCTGTGAAGCAGACTCTGAAGAAAGGGTTAGAGCTTTCTACCAACGCAGGGATTGGGTGCGTACTTGGGCCTCAGCATTGACAAGAAGACTTGTCTTAATTTTGGAAATGAGCGGCTTAAATGCTATTCGTCCTGTGTCTAGCGGCGGTGGAGTGTGAACATCCCTCATAATGTTTGATCTTGGCAGTGATTCAGGACGACTGTGGGGTTGCAACTTCAATTTGCAACTTGCTAAAGCTCTAACGACTGAAAATGATTATGCTGGCGCACTAAGAATGTTGGACAACGGCAGCAGATTAGCAGCTGCCATGAATCAACCTCAACTTGAGGTAAACTCTTCACTAATCTCTTGTTGTTGGATGGCCTCACGACTACGTGTACGATACGGTGTTCAGACTCTGGTTTTTAGTCGTACTGCAAATCATCATCCTTCTAACACATAATGTGGATAAGTCTTCTGCAGTCCTAAAGACAATGATTTGGTTCTGCACTCTAGCTTTCTCTTAGGCGAGAACAGTGGTACATATTTGGTACTTATTTAGAAACTTCTTGATTCAATGGCTTTTTGTATCCCTTCATCTGTTCCCCGAAGTTTGTGAATTGAGAATGTGTAACTGACAATTATAGATGTACCAGATGGTATTTGCTACTGCTAGGTTGCATGTTCAGCTGATGCAATGGGAGGAGCCTACAACCATCGACCAAAGTCTTGCTTTTTGTGATCGGTTGTTTGACAGAATTCCACAAAACCTGGTATGATTCATCTTTGAGGGCTCGGTTCGATATGCACATTGTTCATGTTTTGAAAGGGGGCAATGATAAGCATGCTTCGTTTTAGTAGTAGAAAATTCTATGGCTTGTGAACCTACTCTTTGTTGTTCCCCTAGTAAGACTTGTGCACGTGTCATAAACAGTTGTGACCCTCGCTTTAGTTGCGACAAACCCCCATTATATGTTTTCGGTTCACCACTAGAACCTGTGACATCATGGTGATGTTTTCAAATTCTAACATCAACCTTGTTCGGTAGGTGAAAGAATATGATTTCGAGTTTTGCTATTCTTTCATACATAGTACAGTATCTCCAGTTAAAGTGCCAATCTTTTTCTTAGTTCAATTTTCATTTGCATTGAATCTTCATCTGATTCGCCCTTTGAGATTGTTGACGAAACATTTACGTACTCTAGGTTTTTGTAGAAACGATCACATGCAGGTCTACACGTCTACAAGGAGCTTCTTTACATATTTTACCTCCTGCGAGCATGTGAGTACAAGGAAGCACAAGATCGCACGACTGACCTGGATGCAACTCTACGGGAACTGGAACAGCCCGCACCAGTGCAACAACCTGTATTTGATCCTGTTGTACATCGAGAGCTTAAGAATCAACTGCAGTGGGTGGTTACGGAGCTACAACGTCCAGGTGCTCCGCCACAGCGGGCTGCCGATTTGCGGTATCATTATGTCTTAATTCAGCAGCAGCTCCTTCAACACGAACAACTAATGTAAGTCGCGCAGGAGCGTCTAAAGTTTAGTCTGATGAAGGACACAAAGTATATTCTGTTGAATGAATCCTTTTTGTAATGTTTATTAGACTGCAGTCCTTAACGTTGGCAATGTTTTTCCCTTTCATTTTAAGTTCTCTTCCCATGGTACCATTACATTCTCTATTTCATTTTGGATTTCATTTGTAGGCGCCCTGCTACACAGATGGACTCAAAAAAGCTTCCATTGGGACCTGCACCTTTGGACGAGGAATGGATTCCCAAGGCTGCAGTACTTGTTCTGGTAGATCTTATGGCTGTTATTTGTTCAAGGCCAAAAGGCATGTTCAAAGATTGTACATCTCGAATTATCTCCGGACTGGAACGTGTCAATGGTATGCAACTCCATATTATTAGGCCTCGGGTATCCATGTTTCTGGATAAGACCACTTGCGTAATATGCTGAATAGTGTTCTGAAATTGCTAGGTGATTTAACACTACTGAACTTATTAATGTGATACTGCTATTAAACTGATTGTTTTGAGCCTCTTGTTTCTTTACAAGGTGAGCTGGAGAAGCTTGGAATTACAAGAAAAGTTGCAGGTGGGCTGACTTGTCGTACACCCTGTTTACCAATTTCACTTGTATGTAAATTAGTTTGAAGTTTGTTAGAACCTCTACTGTAACTGAGATATATTGAAGAAAAAGTAAGCACTGACTTTATTGATTCGCGTGACAGAGGGAGATCTGCAACACTGGGCAATGTGGACAGGTGGCGTTTATTTGCTTTTGTTGATGCAGCTACTTGAGAATAAAGCAGTTATCAACCTCACCGAAGCCGATTATGTCGAAGCCCAGAAAGTAAGGAATACATAGAATAGAAAGAGGTTTTAGTCTGTTGTGCAGCAGAACGTGCGCTTTTGTACTTACAGGATGATGATTTCATTTTGTTGCTGTCAAAGTTTGATTCCTTCAATTAGGCTTTCACCTAGGCGGTTTTGTTTTCAGTTTTAACCACTTTCAAATGTCAACATAGTGAGAGAAGAGTTTGCTAAGAATCATTTTTTGTGTTGGTTGAATAAAATATCAGTCTTTGGTTCAATTAGTGGAGTGGAAGAGAAGGTATCCAACAATGCTACAAGGCTGTGAAAGCAATATTCAATTACTTCTGGGTCATTACGCACAATCCTTGGGCTGTTTCCGTGAGTCCGCTCATCATTTTATGCAGGCTTCTAAGGTAAGTGGTATTCTTACTTTATTCTAAGATGATATTGTTCAGTTTTCCTGCTGTGTAGTGTCTTGACCTTCGGTGATCTGAAGCACTGATTTGATTGTGCATAGTTCAAGTGATTGCTACAACAGAGTTTAAAGTTGGGCACACCAGCTTTAAAGATTGCTCTAAAATAGGTTATGCATTTCTTTAGGTTTTCAGTCCTCGCTAAATTGTGATTATCTAACAATCAAGTTGATAATTAACGTAGTGTATGTTTTAACGTGCGGGTTCTGCAGATGGCAGATTGTGAGGGATTGCGAGCCATGTGCCAAGTCAATGCTGCAGTATCTTACATTTGTCTTGATGACCCAGATTCATCGTCGCATGTAAGTAGACCACTAATATTTTTTCTCGAGGGAGTCATCTAGCAAGTTTTAGTTTAACTATTTTATTTTTGAACTGTGTCCGATCAGCCTGTGTCTATGTGGTGTAGAGACGTAGACATGTTAATAGAAAAGTACTGCTGTCATGTAATATGGTGAGATCATGTCATCATTATGCCTTTTTGTGGTAGTAATTCATCCCGGTTTATGTAATTGCAGGCATTGGACCTTGTTGCTCCTGTATATCGGAATATGGACACATATTTAGGGGCTCGTGAGAAAACCTTGGTTCTCTTTGCATCAGGCATTCTGCAGAGGAAGCAACATAACCCGCAAGAGGCTCGGTACTCTTCAGAACTTGTTGTTCCTAGAGCATTCTGTATTTCTTATGTCTCGATCATTTCATACATCCTGAGTGCTGATATACCCTGTGGTTGCAGGACACGATTAGCAACCGGTTTAAAAATCACTCATAAACAATTGGGTAATCATCAATTGGTTTCTCAATATCTAACGGTTCTTGGAAGCCTGGCCATTGCCATGCATGATACCACTCAGGCTCGTGACATTTTAAAGTCTTCATTCACACTGGCGAAGTCTCTCCATGACATACCAACTCAAGTAACAGTCCTTTCAGAGCTTAAAGGTATAGCTTTAACTTCTCAACTTCAGTTGGTTGATATATCATGCAACTATTCCTTGTTTCGTAACGGTGTCATTGCTGCTGATTTCCTCGACAAGTTTTATGGTTCTTAATGTTTGTTCGTGGTAATCTTGCTCTTTAGCTATGTTCCGGAATGCTGAAGAGGCCGGAAAGGAAGCAGAGCATGCAGAAGCTGAGGGCAAGAAGCTCGAGGAGCTTCATCGGCGTATTTCTGAGGCACAAGCAACTCCTTACCACACAGCTCTTTTGCAGGTTTATCCTTTTTTAGCCTTGACCAATTTAAGCAATGTATTCTGTCCTGTAAAAGGGACAAAGTCGGTAATTTTCATGTGTTTGGTCAGATTCTTCTCTATGTGGTACATCTTTTTGAAGCTTGCATACATGTACGAAAAGGGATTTTAGTGGTTCGGAATTTCATAATTAAGGAAATCTCGTCACGATTTTCTTTTTGGGCTCTAATGGACTTGTATTTTTTGAATGCAGTACGGCTTGTGCAGATAGTATGGTCATACGACTCGTCCTCAACTTCTGCACTTGTACTTTTGCTGCACATAACAAGACCTGACTTTTCTTTTTAGTCTGTACAATGGTAGCATATCATTCAGGTCTTGTCTGCAGTATCATGCTTTGTAACATATGAAACCTTCGGGTCCCAATTCTCCAGTCGATGCACTGGAGTGAGTTCTCAGGTTGAGAGTAAGAGTCTCTAAGCATGTAGTGCATCAACACCAATTCATGCGATCAGGGCTCTATCCTCATGCGTACCGGCGTTTAATCCCTTTTGCCTCTAGTAGTTGAAGGGGTCAGAAGTGTACTTTTTCATTTTTTAAACTTTTTAGTTCTTTCGGTTTTTACCAAGAGATCCTAATAGCCAAGTCATATACATTTTGAACTCGAAGGAGTACAATGAACATGAACAGTGCTTGCATATGAATTTACTTGAACGATCAGTAAAACGTCTATTGAGACCATGAATTTTTTTACTGCAAAATGTTAAGCATCAGAGTAGAGGTGGTAGGATGGTTTGGAGAAAAGTTCTCGGAGAATTAAGTTAGTGGAGAGAGTTAACACACAATTCACTCATTGGAGAATGTAACTTGTTAGTAGAATAGGAAGAAAATGATGTATAATTTTTTAACTAGGGAAGTATTTATTGAGCATTTGTAGATCATGGGCTCTACTTCAGAGATGCACTTGTCTTTGTCTTCTACTTAACTATTTTTTCCTGACAAATATTATATAGCATTGAGGACAAATGTTTGTTGTTTGTCAGTTTTGATAAAATGCACTAAATCTTGCTAGTATATCTATGTGATGTCTTCTTTTTTTGTAATTGGCTTTGCATTGTTTGTTATGCTTCTTTGTGCAATTTTTATGTACTTTGTTGTATTTGTCTTTGTAATCTTTCATGTGCCTCTTTTTACAATCTTTTTTTCTTTTGACAACTTGGGGATTTTTTTTGGGATTTGTTTTGTGACTAAAAGTGGATACACTCATGCATAATTCTTCATATTATTATATTTCTTGTTTTGCATTGGCATAGTTTGTTATTGTATCTTTCTAGCTTTGCATCACCATAGTCTTATTTGATCTTTTATCTCTCATGTAAAATTGACTTGTAATTAACATATGCTTCATTTTCTTGTTGATTTGTATAGGTATTGTTTTTATTAAATTAATCACCATTGTTGTCTTTTGTACAATTAGGTGAATCTATATTGCCTAGATACACCACACTTATTCTCCTTGTTTCTAATGGTTGTTAGAATTGGTTACTTGTTGTACAATGCACATGTGTAAAAATAATTGTTAGGTAATATATCATACTTTTAGGTTTTGTGTATTGAATTTATAGTTTTATGATTGTTAAACTTTAGCTATGAACATGTTATTTAGCCTTCTATTAGGAACCCCATCAGCTCCAAGTAATACAAAAAATATCACTAATACATGGAATTGAATTGTATTGTTTCATATTTGCATAATAATTTATTTTTTATAAGCAGATTGATATACAAACTAGAAATTGTTCAATGTTATATGCATCATATGTTAGGATGTAATATACAAAATAAAAAGAATAGTTGATTGACAATGAACTATTACAATTGTGTAATCATGTAATGTTTTTATGTATTTAATGTCTTTGCTATATGTATTATGTAGTATTGTTGAGTAGAACAAAAATGTGTGTGTAAAATAAAATCAATTTTGTTATAATTGTTGTAGCTTTTAGTATTATTTCTATTTAAATTAATAAAATAATATATTTTATGAGAATATATAAACATCTATATAATGAATCATAGAATAGATGTTATTTAGATATAAAAGTAATATAGTTACTTTCTAGAAACTTTATTAATTAATTATCAACTTCAATTATGTATTTATTAATATTATATATATTACAAATTTTACAATTGTAAATACAATATGGATACCTTGATACTAGAAGGTAGGATAGAAGAGCAATGTGAAAATTAAATCATTGCAATATAATTGGCGTAAAGGTTCTTAATTTGCTATTGGTATGATATGATTAGTTGTGCTCCATAATATTACTCTGCACTTAATAGTATATTTTTATTTTATTAAAATATTTTAATAAAATAACAATAGTATTAGTCTTTTTATTTTAGCAATCTTAAGTATAGGATTTAAGCATCTTTGCTATTAGTAAGACATAAAGCAACTTTTCGAGTGTTTTTCAATTACTAGTGATTCTTAATTACTTCCTTTGGCATCTATTTGTAAAAAGAGGGGTAGAAAAAAAATATCTTTTCTGAAAAACCAAAAATATTTATATCTATCATGTAACATATTTTTTTCAAAACCTAATCTTAATAAGATTAATACATACAACCTTGGTCAAATATTATAGAAGAAAGTAGAGTTTTGCACCTTAGAAAAAATATCTAAATACTTTTTATTTAAGAATTAAACCTAAATAGGTAAGTAAATAAATGTGTATATTTTTAAATACTTCTATTAAACAAGTAAGTAATGTTTTAAACTCTATATTTAGGACTTGAACAAACAAAGGCCAACAAGAGTAATTAAGAGTCATTGGTTGATAAAATTAGTTGTTGTAACAATGCCAATGGTTGAAAAAAGTGTCTTGTGATGTGCAACTCTTGCTAATGGCAACTTGTGGTGGCATTAGCAAAAACCATGGTAATATGTGGTAGATGGCAAGTTCTAGTGACAATAGCAAAAATTGAAGTGACAATAGCAATACCTTATTTAAAACCTAAAAATCTACATCAATTAAAAAATTAAATAAAAAGAATTAAAAATTAAATAAAAAATATAAAAATTAATTAGCTAATATAATAAATATTATATAATAAATCTTCAAATTTGTTATTTTTTAAAATACTTTCTAGATTATTATTATTATTATTTAATTTCACCTAAATATTGTATTTTAAAGATAATGAAACCCACCAGCATATTGTATTTTTTAAAAAAGTAAACAAATGTATTTTTGGTTTTCATAAAATATTTTCTTATAATATTTTTCTAATTATTATAGTTTTATGTTATCTTATCTTTCTTTTTTCTTTTTTTCTTTTTTTTTTTGTTTATAAGTAATTTTACAAAAGCATTTTCTTAAATGGTTTTACAACAAGTCAAACAAAAAAATTAGCCAAACGGAGAGCCTCGTGAAATTTACCTTAACTTGTCATCAAGCAACACAAATGGCACCATATTCGATTCAGTCGATGAACTCAAGAGCTTGGCGCAACTGGACCTGTCGCACAATCACTTGACCGGGAGTAGCCCTACAAATCTTTCACAGGCAACCAATCTGACATCTCTCGAATTGTCTCACAACAATCCCACCGAGAAGATCCCTTCAGAACTCATTTCATTGACATACTTGAATATATTAGATTTATCCTTTAACAATTTGAGCGGCGAAATCCACACTCAAATCAGTGGAGTGCTTTCGGCAAGTCTTCATTCGAAGGAGATCCTCTGCTTTGTGGAATTGTCGTAGATAGAATCTGCCCAGGTTTGTTTCCATGGTTCCCTCCTCAGCCCCTGCTCCCGCTCGATTGATTTCCAACGGATTGAAAGTGGACTGGCCTGTTTGGTCGAACCCTCTGGGTACAACACTCCTGTGATGGGCGGCACTGTAGGCTATGTCCCTCCAGGGTGTGGACAGACGTGGAAGGCCACACCTGGCGGCGATGTTTACAGCCCTGGTGTCGTCTTGTTGGAGTTGGTTACTGGCAAGACCCCAATAGGCCGTGAATTCCATGAAAGCTGTGGCGGCAATTTGGTTGGGTGGGTTCGGTCCCAAGTCAAAGATCAGTGTGGCTTCAAATGTTTAGATCCAAAGCTCCTGGCGAGTGGCGTTAAAAGTGAGATGCTTGAGACGTTAAGAATGGGGTACCTTTGCACGGCCGAGCTCCCCACCAAGCGCCTGACGATGCAGCAGGTGGTTGGTTTGCTCAAGGACATCCACGCCGAAGTTACTTCCGTGTAGGTGATTGATTATTTACTCATTTAAATTCTTCGAATTTGTATAGAGGTGAATGAATTCACAGATGCCACCTCTAAACAATGAAGATGGTTTCGAGCGTTGCGCAAGCGTTTATATTCACTCTCTCGCACAAGAACACATTCAACCGGAAACTGATTTCTGTCTACCTAACACTATTAATCTCACGTTGCAACTCTTGTGATTGAAGAATCTGGAGATGTTCATTTGTAGTCGTTATGTGAATCAATGCAGCCGTACATGCAATTGATTACCTGGTTAAGGTGATCTGCTTCCACGTACATGAATACATGAAGCTTGCAAGTGATCGAGTTCGCATCACAGAGAAGGCTTAACTCGAACTCGGAGCTCTTCTAGATCAACAAACATCGATTCCGCTTCAGACACTTGTTGGTATTGCTCACCCCGATGTGATTCACCCACCGAATTCTTCCATCCCGCTTGTGATTTCCACTGAAGTTGCCGGATACAGTATCAACAATTGACTACCCGACTGCTTGAGAAAGCCGCCGCTTAGAAGTGAAGACTCCCTGCAAGTTAACAACCTGGTGGTTCCGAGTACTCAACCACCATCATCCCTGTCTGCAACCCCACCAGCTTAGTAATCAGGAATTATATGCTCCCGTGTAGAGACAATCAAATGGCCACAATGTCTGATATGTGAATGCAATCCATGGACAAAGAACTGATCGCTCGATCTCAAAGCTCATGAAGCAGCGGGTGGAGACTGAGCTGCAAGTGAGGATTCGATCTGCAAGAGCATCAAGGTCGTGATCATTTGTGATGCGCTCGTAGGGTCGAAATTTTGATGCAGATCGTACTCGTCTTGTTGCAATTCATCTCTCGATGCCATCGATAATCGATAGAGTCGGCGAACCCATCGAGCTCTCGAATCGATGCATACAAGTCTCCGCAACAAGGATGCGAGTTCCTTTGCATACGTCAACACATGCGCTGCTGGAAGGGACCTACGGCACAACCTGGTTAATTAATCACTTTAATCACTACTTTAATTTGCAAATTTGATAATTCTGCGAATTATTTTTCGTACGTGTTTCGATTCATTGTTGGCATTTGTTTTCTTTAAACATATGGATATATCTATATTATACCTCGTAGGTGGAAAATAGCGCGGAGCATGATTCGTATTTTCTATTACCGACGGACAGTTTTAATATTTTTTTATCATATCAACCAAAATTAAACATGAGTAGGGATTTGGGATCATTTTGTGAAATATTTTATAACATTTTTTCATAAATGAATCTTGATTACAAAGATTACAATCACAAAACAATTTTCTGACATCACCCATGTGGATTCTACCCACCCACGTCTCCAAACGGATCTTCGAATGACATACAAACAACAACAATAAATAAATAAACAAATAAAGAAAACCCTTGTAGTCAATTAGCAACCCATTATAATTTGGACCAGATTTTTTTTTTTTTTTTTTTTTTTTTTTCTACCAGAGTAAGTACATTCGGTTCATGTTTCCTCCCATGCTTTCATTCACAATCCTTACAATTGATTTCATTTGGAATATATAAAGTAAAAAGACCATATAAATTTCAATGAAAATTTCCCTAAAAAGTAAAAAGACCATATAAATTTTAAAAAGCAAACTTTAGGAACACCCATTAAACTTGGGGAACATGGCAGCTAATGTGCATTAAATAACATGTCTAAACATTTAGAATTTTTTTATGCCTCATAATGTGGTCTTCCACAACAGCTATGGCTCCTCCACCCTTTTGTATTTATACACAAGGCTGGAATCGAATGTTCGGCGGAGTTTCCAACGCGAGGGGAAGAAATAGCGGTGGTGAGCTTCACAAATAATACCATGGATCATGCGTTTTGAATTCTTGGCTTTCAGCAACAACTGTTGTTGTATTGCCAGTACCCCCCCCCCCCTAATATGAATACTATACATACGTAGGATACGATCGTCGCTGTTGAACATCCGTTCGATCACTGTATGTATAATAATGGAAAAAGTAGGTGTACAGTCCTTCATAAAAAGTGTAACTTGTTCATGGATCTGTTGGGTACGAACACTAAATACTGAATGGTACTCGTATGAGCTAGTGATGTATAGATATGGTATTTAAATGGAGTACATTTAATGGTGTTGACTTTACGGTTTAGTTATGGATGGATGAGGATCGGACATTGATGCGTATTTTTCATCCATCTATGCCGATTGTGGAGGCTTGCAAACTTTCCTTCATAAATGACAATTCATTTCATTTTATTTTTTACTTTCTTATATTTGATTTTCCACCTTCTTTATTGTTGTTGTTTGTTCGTTTTGATTTTTAACTTTTCTTATAAGATGGTTAGTTTGAGGTCCAAATGTTTATACAACCCACTTCTAAGCTCTTTCTACCTTCATTGTATGGAAATCAAATCTTTTCCTTGTCATAGTTGTGCAATGAGGCTCATGAATCAAGTGGGTGCAATTTTGGTGCAACTTGGGTGCCTCTATGTTGAACTAAATTTACTAAATTGTATGTTCTAGACCACCTTGAAGACTAAAAGGAGATCCCCATAGACTTGGTTGGTACCTCAGAAACAAAGCCAAATCAATCACTTTGTTGAAAGTCGTAGAAGATCAGTTGCTTGGCATTACAGCAAAATCCTTTTATGAATACCCCACCACTCGTTGAAGTGAAGAAGAACTTAGTGCTTCCATTCCACTTATTTGATTTTAGTAAATACCTACCTTCAAATAGATAAGAATATATTGAGAACGTGAATATATTTTTTTGCTTTCATGTTTTAGTTTTTATTGAGCTATTTATAATGCAACTTTATTATAAAGTAAGCTTGACTTTTGGTAAATAAATGACACACCCTTCTTTTCGCGAAAGGGTCATTCTGAGAAGTTTCATCCAACATGTGGATGTGAACCATTGGTGGGTTGTTTCTAGTAGTGAGCGGGAAGTTTCCTATGAATCAAGTCAACGATGATCAGATATGGAAATATAACCAAATAAAAAAGATAATTAATGTCTCTTAATACAGGCCCTTCTTTCGGGTCCCAACTCATGCCACCCCAAAAGCTCAACCGTCGAAATATTATAACAGGAACAAAGCCACGACGCAGTAACTCCTATTCACAAATACGAAATTCAAAACAGTTCAACGCATAATTCTCACCACTTTATGAAAATTACACATCTATAATTGCTTGCACACTCCATAGAATCTCAGATTTTCCTTCACAGTCCCTCTTTTATTTTCCTCACCACCTTCAAAGCAACACCCAAAAAAAAAAAAAAAAAAAAAACATTGGAAGTGTGCAAAGATTGTTAACCCTAAACCCTAACTTCATGATGTAATAAATCTACAAACCCATAAACAAATTCGCAACACTCAGAAGAAAAAGTGTTGCTTTCACATATTCTAATTCTATGCACACGCATTTATATATAATACACACACATACATACAATAACAAACATAAATTGCAATCCTTATGATAAATAAACGTACACACACAATAACAACGAGAATATTAATGAGAAGAAGAGTGAGGAGCGAGGAAGAATGCGTAATCAAGTTGCGTGAGAATCGAATGATGCTTCGGGGGAATCGCTCTTCTCGGCTATCAGTTACCGCAGTGCGGCGTTGCTCGCATGGGTGCAGAATCATGGTGGCAACGTGGGGGGGCGGGCCTCGGTGCACAGACCCCATCGAAAGCATGCACCCTGTCGCCTGCTTCCTGGCTTGCTTGTTGGCATGGCCTTGCGCAGAGAATCACCCCGTTGGCTGTTTGCTTGCGTATGACAAATTCGACGAGTAGCGGCATGGAATCTACTGCAACGGCTTTGATAGAGTGAGATTCTGAAACCGGTTTGTTTCGGGGAAGCGATAAGGCGAGCGATCGGGAGTTGTGACCCACGAGCAATCAGGCGTCGACAGTTGATACTGGACACCAGCATTCAATAAGAGGGGGCTGAGAAGTGTCTGTGCCCCCCCTCAATTGTTGTCGCAGGCAGGGGCTGATCCACCCAGCTCCGCCTTGTATGCGCAATTCATTCCCATCTCAGTGATTGTATAACCACCTGTCCACCCTGGCCTGACAATACCGCTCGCCACTACCACCACCACCACAGGCTTCTTCTCTCGTCCATTGTTTCTGTTTGTCTTGAGTGGGGAAGTCTGAAAAAGGTGAATAAAACTACTGAGGAGTTTTAAGGCTGGAAGGAATCCATGCATCAGCTCGATTAGGGTTCGAAGGGTGGAGAGTTAATTGGCGTTGGAGGGAGATGGAAAGTGTGATCGATCGATCAATCGGTCGGGAGCTTAAACCTCTGGTGTAGATTTTACTGGACCCGATCACGAGCTCACGAGGGAGAATTTGTGTGGGTTTGTAAAAATGTGTCATTACGGCAAAGGTGAAAAAGCAAGGCGGCATCATATTCTTGGTTGGGGTCATAATTCGAAAGGTAATCGTTCGTGTCTGAGGTACATCAATGCAATACAGAGGTTGCATTTGATCTTACCTGGATGTGAACCCTTTTTTGATAATGACACGGTAAACTCTGCGCAGAACGGGGCTCGGAAAGCAGAACTGGTGAAGAAGGCCGTAGTAAAAGAATGATACCACCCTGAGCAATTATCTACAGACATTGTGAGGCCCTCGAAGCCTCCACAACTATTTTTTACGGCGAAGACGACGCCAAATTTTGTTATTAGGTCCCGAACCGATTGACTGCACATATTGGTGAAAATTGGATGGTTGTGCACTAAAATCTGCCACATCTCTGCGTAAATCAGGACAGCATTACATCCTCCTCGCCATGTGTCGTGCCCTGAGTAACCTCCGATTTTATTCAATTAACAAGTGAAGCTGTCGGACGCCACAAATAGCTACAATGGCAGTAAAAAGTCTATTTCCATCTCCCTCATGCAATCCATCGATGGCTCTCCTTCAGTCGAGTGCTCTGCATCGCTTCCAACCATGGAAACCAACGCCCTCAAAAATAACCTAAGTGGGAAGTTGCGCAAACCATGTTCAAAATGCCAAGGAGACCAAGATTGCAAAATAATGCAGTTGAAAGAAAACGATAGAAGTGAGTGTTCAGAATTAGCCTCGCGGAGTGGATGGAAGGCTGCCATTCTGACACAAAGGTTTCTGTCGCTCAGGGATCCCGTCCTGGATTATATCACCAGGCTGGAGCCCAAAGTCGGGATTCCATTTCGGTATTGTCTCTTTGTTCCTGCTAGGCCTCTCAGTCGGGGTGGTGTCAGAGCCATACACGCCTGTCTTGTACGCTTTGAAGAGTTGGGTATATCTTGCAGAAGACGTACTGATTGAGGTTGAGCTTTCGATGCTGGATTCAAGCGAATGCGGAGGCAGTGTTCTGGCACAGACAGCTGGGTTAGAGGTTATTAGAAGCAACCAGCGACTTGAGTCAGAGATTTAGAAGAGCATCTGCGTCTTCCATGGTGTCGTTCGGGCGCGGCGACGGTGGTTGTGTGTGTGTTGACGGATGTTGTGTACGACATACGGCGTGAGGAGGCTCGGCTTTGAAGTGCTGGAAAGTTTGTAGAGTTCGCAGTTGGATCACGGGGGTGGAGGAGCATTTGGTATGGTGAATTGGAGGGCAGTCGTTGTGTCGGGGTAATCTCATGGTAGAGTTTGAGGTTGTGTGTTGGTGGCTACGAGCTATAGGCATTGGATGCTTCGAATAGTGGGGTGAGGACTCTTACTAGGGTAGTATCAGCATTCAGTTTGGTTGGATATTGCGGGGCGCATCTGAGGATTGCGACAACAATTTTCTTGTAATTCTCATTGCGAAGGAGGATCGTCTCAAGTAGATTTGAGAGCATTCCAAGTTTGCGAGATTTTGTGGAGATGTCCATGCGCCAAAGGGCCACACAGTGCTTGGGGAAGCTCCCCGACAAGCCGCGTAGCCGTGCTTCCAATCCCACGAGCCCACTATGGCCTGGTCATCATGTTCGGTCGCACGAGTTAGAACTGATCGAGCCCAGTAGCCCTGTTGCGTCTGTTACCTCTGAGAGGCTCTTCCGATCGAGAGAGACAGTGAAGGCTTGGCTGGAAGCAAGCCCCAAATCCGTTCTTGACAATCATCTCGTTGACGAGATTTCGGGTTCTTCATTTGAATCCCACGACTCCTCTCCTGCTAGTTCGGAGTACCGTGGCTGCTCCAATCGATTCGGCTGTTCCAGCTCGAGGACTAACCGGCTTAGGGTAAGCTTCTTAGAATCCCTCTTTCGTGTTTAAGTTTTTGCAAAGTAGGAGGCTGTTCCTCTGAGTTCCGAATTGGGGGCGCCAGGCTTGGACTCCCTGTTTCAGACGTTTCTAGGAGTTCTGTATCCGAGAAATGCTGGAGAGTTAAATAAATATGGTGAATGCCCATGTGTCGCTGTTGCAGGCAAGGGCTATTTCTCCTCCGAAGTGTCCAGCAAACATTAACTCTGAAGATGTTTCGAGGATTGATACCGGACGTTGCGGCGGCAGCAACTTCCTTGTGCACGTTTTCAAGGATGCACAACGTACACGTTTACTTCTTTTCCTTTTTTTCAGTTTTGAAAATCTCTTCCCTTTCGTGAGGCCATGTGGTGAAAATGGCATGCTCGACATGTATTTAGCACCCACTGATATTGTGGTACCGTTCTGTAGATTTTGAGACACCGTCGCCATCTGCATTCCAATACGCGGGAGCTTTTAGGGATGATCACCTTCGAGGTTTTGCCCCAGAGGAATGCGGCTCTCCCGGAAGCGAATTTAGCTTGACTTCTGAATGGCACAACATGGTGGCAGCTGGAACTGCCGCAGGCATGAGCACACGCGGTTCGACCTCGAATAGTTCGGACTTCGACACGCATGGAGGTTTGCGTAGATCCCGGCTCAACCTGGGTTCATCTGATTATGTGGTTCGTACAAATCCGCGAGTGTCAAGGAGCGCATGCCGAACTCAATCTATGGAACTCCCACGATTAGCTCGTTTTAGTGAACTTTCGACAGGCCGCCAGTTCGAAGGTGACACTCACCCAGCACAAATTAAGACTGTCGGACACAGTGCCCCGCTTAAAAGGACATATTCGCGACAGCCATCTGGAGATAATGGTAAAGCTCTTAACCGTGCTACGAGATATTGATTTGATATTGCTTGATGATACTTTTTTGCAGCGTTTACTGATTGTTGGACATGGGTGGTTGGAATTCTTCAGATGTAACTGATCTTCAAAGATTATCAAGAGGAAACTCAGAGTGCTCCGCTTCCATGCGGGAAGCATTTGCGCACGTTTCTAAGCAGAAAGCTCTCAGCCCCACTGACTTGAAGTACGCCAATCGGTGCGTTTGACTTATTGGTTCTTACAGAAAGATTTCAAATTGGGATTCTGGAACGATTGTCGTTCGTTTTGGCTCTGAAGGCTTTGAAAATATTCTCCTAACTTTTCTGTTTTGGTACCAGATATGAGAGGGAAGTAAGGGAACACAAGTCCTGGGAAGAGCAACAACGGACTAAAGCCGCTTCTGCGCTGAGGCAAATCGAGGTTTGTGTACCTCTTGCACAGCTGTAGATTGTGTTCACTGACTCCTTGTTTGTCAATTCGTTTCGAAGCACCCCTAGTTAGTTTTCTCATGCCAATACTTGTGATTTATCTTCTTTTTATTTTATTTTATTTTATTTATGTATCTTGTCACAGTTGAAGCTGGAGCTCAAGCGTGCACGCTTAATCGAGAAGATGCAGAACGAGGTAGCCGTGGCGCGACGGAAGGCAGAGGAGAAGAAGGCCATAGCTGAGGCGAAACGTGCTGATAAAGCAGCGAGAGCAGCAATGGATGTAAAGATCATGAGACGGCCCGTCAAAAATCCTCGTGGTTGTCTTTTCCTCGGTTGATACTCAAAGCGAACTCTCCACCTCGACCACATCCTTCAAAAGTATCCTTCAACTCAACTCTACTCAACTCTCAACAATTACCATTCCGATTTCACAGCCCCGCTTCCTCTTAGTGGAAGATTGATTATTTTTCAGTGACGTGATGTTTTCACGGTTGTACAATGTGCAAGCTCCATCACATACACCCGGGGACGACGGTCTTCAGAGGTGTTCAGATCTCATCATTCATAATCCTGGTCCGCACTGTGACAGGAATTTGTACAATAAAACAGATGACACTTGTATTAGAATATATCACTGTTCAAGGCTTATATCACTATTCATGGCGAATTAATCGCCACTCCGCTTCTCAGGTCAAAATCTTGGCTGTAGATCGACTTACTATTCAAGGTTTGCTAATCTATTCACGCTAGGGGCTGAGAAGCATTTTTCTCGAGAGAATGATCAATAGTCTAGCAGTAATTATTCGTGGCTACCAATTGTTTCTTCCAATTCATACTTCGGATTCTACCAACAATAAATTACGCACGGAAGATGTGCTTGACTTATTTCCCTGTCTCGTTTATTTGTGCTTGGAGATGATATGCTTTCCTGTCTGATGAGACTGATTCTTCCACCCTTCTGAGCCAAAAATGTGCTTAGGATTCGGCGCTGCTTGCCACACATCCTTCCGTATGTCCATCATTGTTTATTTCTCGTTTTCTCATGCAAGTGAAGACAGACATCGTGTAATAAACAATGCTGGTCAAACTTGAACTTGATAATCTTGAATCCGGTGCACGATGCGCTCATTGCTATTGCCCATTCGAGACGAGAGAGTTATCAACCAGTGGCCTGTCGTACCCCTACAACTGATAATCGAGTGAAACCAGAAATGCCAACCAGTCTTGAAGTGGTGAGCAAGCCTCCAAAAAGCGGCGACGCCTCGAAGATTGTGTATGGGCTGGAAGCCTCAACAGCACTATTCCCTGCAATCATATCACCACGTTCTTTACACGCTCTTGCAAGCCTGGCTTTTTGTAACACCGATGTTCAGCGTTTAGGACGTCTCGACTTTCTACAAGTCACCCACCAACGAAAACTCGTGTTCTCCCCTTTGCACTGACAGCTTCCTCCAAACACGGTTCCCGGCTGGGCGACAAATCCAGCTGCCGAGATTTTTTTTTCTCTATGCTCTCCTTTACTCCTTTTGCGAGCAATTATTCAGTGGACCAAATGCAGCTTTATCTTGGTGCTTCCTATTCCTTCTCAACCCTTTACCACGGGCGAATGTAAAAAGCTCTTCTCCTCAACCTCCGCACGAACTCATACAATCTGTGCCTCGGCAAGATTGCAAGGTACTGCCAGCACAGTAAGTTCAGCTGCGGAACTGGCCCATGAGCTTGTCAACTTGCAACTAGTCATCACCCACTCATCTCACAACACATTCATACTTCACCCCAGTTTGAAACAGTGGACGATGGTGTGTGATCAGTGCCGTCTAGAACGGTGCAAAGGTTACAATTTCAGCAACTTGGAAGAGTCAGAAGCTATTAATAACAGCCACCTCTGCAACCCACAAGTCCATTTTTTGACTATGGTGGTTGTCAATCCAACCAAATTCTAGACGAGACAAGACTACTGGGCTGTGGCCCAGTTCGCGAAACTCTGGAATATGTGCGGTCTCCGGAAGCCGCGCCATCGCCCCCTGTCACCGAGCAGACGGAACCTATCTTCGGTGCACGGCCGTAGGGGAAGTAGGCGTGCTGCACGGAAGTCGACCCCACGGTGGGTCGCTATTCAGTCAAGGCACGGTTTTGGGGGTGTTTGCGTGGAATTTTTTCACCCACACTATTTTGCTTAGTTGTGGTACAACTTGGTTCGAGAAATATCGCATCTATTTGTGGGTCAACTCAACCCTCCTCATTCTATGTGAGCTTGGCTTGTTCTTGGTCAAAATAAACTAGGTGAGCTGAATGCCTGAATGCTTTCAATATATATATATATATTTGGGGGGAAGGGGAACAATATATGCTCCTTGGTGGGTTTCCAATGTGGGGGAATTGTGAGAACTACTACAAGGGAACTTCTCATGGGGAACCTCACTTTTAGGCCCCCCTAACCCTATGTACAAATCCAACTTAGGGTTGGAATTACTTTGATAGCATTTTATCATAAGTTATGTTTTGGTGTATTTGAATACATTTTTGAATGGAAAAAAATAAGAATAAAAGCAAAAATAAAATCAACTATGTGTGTTGTGCTTGATATGTATAATCCTATCTCTTTCTGTTTCTTTGAACTTGTTCAGAAATCCTTTGATGTGTTTAGATAAGTGAGGCTTGTTTCTGTGAATTATATAAAGTGATCTTGGTTAAACTGTGTTTGAAAAAATTAAAATTAAAATTAAAATCCTAAGTTACATAACATGTGTCACACTACTTCCTAATTTTACTTGTCTCAACCCTTCACAAATCCAAGGCACATGTTACTTCAGAAAATAACTAAATATTCTTTTGCAGAACATTTTAATGTTTGCAATGAATGAGATAATGTGTGTGTGTGTATGTATACACATGTATTTTATATATGTACATATATATATATATATATATATTTGTAGGTGTATGTATACACATGTATTTGTATGTGCATTTTTAATATTAACAAATATATATGTTAACTAATTATACGAAAGGAATATTCTTTCATTGTAAAATGTTTTAAATTTTAAATCAAGAAATGCTAGCTAAAACATTCTCTGTGACTTATTGAAATGAACCACATTTCTCAAGTGTCTTGCTACCTAAATCAATTCTAAAATATACTTGAATAATTACATGCATGTATGCACATATATTTTATACATAAGTAAGCACATCATTTTGAAAATTCAGCAGTAATGCTCATTTTTCAGTTCAATGTTTAAAGTAAAAGACATCTAGTGTACTTCAAAAATATAAAGAACTACAGTTTTGTCAATTTTACATATGATTCCAAAAAAATATAAAAGACTAAAAAAGGTAATAAAAATACCAAAAAACATATACTTCAATCTTTATTCTTAAAATGTAATAAAGATATTGTGTATGAGAAGCTAGTGTAGAAATGGAATAGCTTGAAAAGACCTTTTGACAAATTATTAGAAGTACCTCCATATATGACATCAAAATATTACACAGTGTCCCATATTTTTTATAGTTTACCGATAGTAATTATATATATATATATATATATATAAGTATTTATGGTCTAAAATGATATATAAATTAATCAAGCTCTTAACATGTTTGTAAACTAAGCCATTGCATGCAGCATATAACTGTTTGAAGATCAATGAAAATTTTAATGGTATGACAGGAATGTAATACAACCAACAATACCATGTCATTATATATGTTGATGACTTTTTTTTTTTTTTTTTTTTTTTTTTTTTTTTTGCATTTAATCAATTACAATCAAGTCAAATTCGTATAAAATTAAAATTAAAACCAAACCAAACCCCAAAAATATTAATATTTGACAGTTTTTAAATCTTTGAATGTGATTAAATGATGAAAATCATTGCAAAATGTCAAATGGTAATGAATTTATCAACTAATATATATATATATATATATATATACATGTGTGTGTGTGTGTGTGTGTATATGTATCAATATTGTATACACTTGCATTGTAAAATTCAGTTAAAAAGTAATTACAATGTATCAACTCCTATTAATAAATAAATAAATAAATAATGCACATTCAAGTTTAGATCATGTAAAGTATTGTATATTTCAACTTATTATAACCATTCTACACAATTCACTTTCTAAAGTTTTTTAATAGTACATCCAAGGTTAAATACAATTATATGTGAGGTTTACCAAATGTTACTTCTACTTCATTTGCCCAAATTGTGTTAAGTGATATTGTTGCCTTGCCATTGTGAAGCCTATCCCACCTTAAGTAACTCAACTAACATGCTGGAAAACATTTCATTAATAATTTATTCTTTCCAAACCACCTTTCATAGTATCATGTAAATAACACATTTCTCTTGAAGATTATTACACAAATCTATTGACTTCAAATCTTTACACACATTGTATGTGGAGCCAATCAAAGTGGTTTGCTTACTTGTTTGATTCCTTTTGCAGCTTTGATAGATTTCTTTACAAATTATAAAATACCCATGGTTCTCAATAGAATAGTATTGATGTACCTTTTTTGAAACTTTCATTCTGTTTGAATTCCATCCTAGCCAATGAAAATATGGGTGCACTTGCATACATGCCACTCCAAGTCAATGCCAAAGAGCCCCATCATCTCTAAAGCCAAACCAACTATCCCTTTCAACCACCCACACATGTATATCAATACACTTTGTGAGAAAGAAAAAAACGAAACGGAAAGATAACGTTCGAAAGAAAAATGGAACAAGGAAGAAGCACGAAAAAAGGCAAAAAGGAAAAAGAGGCGATAGAACCTAACGTAAAAGGAAAGTTAAAAACGGAGATTTAGAAAGAAAACGGAAAGAAAGGGAAAAAGAGAGAGGCTGGGCGGGGCTGAAGAGGGGGAAACCATCTCAGCATACGTAAGGCACAGAGTCAACACGAGGGGAACGAAGATATGCTGGGAACATTCCGTACGTTCCCTACACCACCCCCGCGCGCCTTAGACCCGCGGCTTCAGGGCCCACCCTGTGACTGTTCCTCTCTTGGCTTGGGGCCTGCTTCGAGAGGTCTGGTAGTCTAGGTTCGAGACCTGAGTAGATGACCTTTCAACCGTTGCTGTCCTGGGGTGGACGGATGAATGCTGGGTTCCGTAGATGAATAGTGGTTCGGGGGGTGTTTTTTTCTTCTTCTTCTTCTTCTTCTTCTTCTTTCCATACATCCTACTCCCTTTTTGCCTGGTGTATATATATATATATACATACATATATATTTAAAGAAAAATTTAGGACCATGTCAATAAGTGAGGTTCAAGTGGTCTTGCTTCCCTTAAAGATACCAAGCCTCTCTTTGGTCTTTTTGAAGAGAGCCTTCGATGAAATGCCATGATAAAGACCCATTGACTCGTGATCACAACTGACGGGTCTGACTACAACTCTTCAACAAACACATCTAACAATCTTTTTACGTCCTTACTTTTTTCTCTTTTTTTTTGGGGGGGGGGTGCATTTGAATTCGAGGAGCTACGTAAGCACACCTCGTTTGGGACGCCGAATGGGAGAAAGAGCTCACGCAAAAACAGGAGATCTTGCATAGGAAATGGATAGTGTAAATGAGCCCTCTCACGAGTCATCTGGGAGGGGGGGGGTTAGGGTAGTTCCCATGGAATGAAACTTGCATAGAAGTGGGTATTAAAACCCTATTATTTTATTTATTTATTTTAATATATTTTCATTGTTAAATTCTGTGTATGCAAAACGTTTATTCCATGAAACTTTTTTTCATTAACTTTTTTATGGGGGTGGGAAAAGATTTCTTTTACAATAAGTTACGTGAAGGTGATGGTTTTAGGGTTTTATAGTTCGGTGGTGGGCAATGGAAGCCAATCGACGTGAAGGAGTGAGATCCGGTCGGAGGTTGACTTCGGAGATGGGGCCACGTGTGACGTCTCCTCTTATTCTGGTGGGAATCCGCCCCGCCCAGTAAAGAGACCGCGAGCGGGTAGGGAATAATCAAGGACTAATGGGAACGTACGCAAAACCCGTCCACAACCCGCGCCGGGGCGGGGCGAGGGCAAAGGAAAGCAAAGGGAAGAAGAAGAAAAAGAAAAAGAAAAAGAAGAGTGGTCAGGAGGAGAGGCAACGACGACGACGGAAAAGCCCAGAACATCGCGAGATCGTTTCAAGCGGAACGCTGAATGTGGCGTAGCTCAACATTTGACTCGCCCCAACAGGTGAGCCTCCTGCCAGTTGCAGGGAGCCAGCCAGCCAGCCCCAAGCTTCGGAACGCTTGGCGAAAAGAGAGCAAACGAACAAGCAAGCAAACAAACGAGCGAGCGAGCACGAGAGTCAGAGTCATCGAGACAGATTGAGAGAGAGCGAGTGATACACAGAGACAGAGAGCGAGGGAGAAGTTTGAGTGAGTACATCTCGGTGGGTTCATCGCGATTTCGCATCGCAACTACTCCGCCAGCTGACGTTTGTCCATCCCCCCCCCCCCCCCCCCGGACTTTACATCCGAAGTCGGTCGTGCACAATAGATTTCGGGACAGGTGTGCTGGGTCAGGGTCAATTTTGGCTTCTCGGGTGGCAGGAGGAAAATTTTGATGGTTCCGAGGCGGGGGTGAGTGAAGGCGAATGATGGGTTTCGAAGCTTGACGGTGTTTGGGTTAGAGTGGCGGCGCGGTGCGTCTATGTGTTGTTTTGGGTTGGTGCCGTGATCGGAGCACGAAGAGATAGATGCGGGGAATCACCTGATAGAGTGGGTTGCACACGCGCAGGGTTCCGTCAGATAGCTTCCGAAATGGCCTAGTGTTTGACATTCGAGCTCATAATCAAGTGAAGTGACTTTGGTTTTGGTGTCCGCCATTCATTACCCTGAAAGTGTTCCGTAGCTGGTTCGACATCCGCGAGGCGCCCATGTTTCTCCCGAGGCGGGAAGGACTAGTATTGGGTGCAATCTGCGGGCTAGCCATGGAGGATGCGTTCGTACTCGAGTTTGCTGTTGTTTCATGTCCACAGTGCGCGCTGGAAGAATTCCTAATATCTTGACGTCGCTGTCAAGCACAAGGCCAGCCTGGTATTGGCAAGGGAGTGGCATGGTAGAAGATTGAGCGGCGGAATTGGCAGAGGATGTCATTTGGATGTTATGTGGAGAAATGAGATATTAATTTATGATTTACTGTCTGGCTTTTGTTTTGTTTTGTTTTGTTTTTTTTTTTTTAATATTTCTAAGCTACATGCGTCGGAAAGGCCTTGTGTACACGATTTCAAGTTTCATTTGGAGTTACAGCACTGAATTACGTGTGGTGTAAACCTAGCGCACTGCACATGAAATCTGCTCTGATGGTTTATGCAATTTGTGACTACTTTAATATCACGCACCAGAAGACTGGAGCACCATCTGCATATATTCGTCGCAATTATCAGCTGTAGAATGCTGTCATTCTTGTTCAAATTCATCTACCATGGACTTGGGCTCTGGATCTTCACTTTATCGCTGGCTTTAGCAGTGGCTGAACCCTTGCGAGGGGGAGAGCCAGCATCTCTCACAATATCGAATGGAGACGCGAGTGCTGGCTTAGGAAGAGGTGAGTACTCAGCCATACATCACATGTTAGTTCCAGGGAGGCTCCAATTTGTCTCCAGAATGTTCACATTATTATTATTTTCCAGGCCAACAAGATAACGCTATCGTGATTGCAGGAGTTTGACCTAGATATAGAATATGTTTAGTGAAGCAATCCGTTTTTCCTTCAAGCTCTGCATGAAATTGCTATCCCCAGGCCTAGCCGACCTCGTTCAGAATTTCCTGTCTGCAGTTATTATGAAAACCATTTTAAAATTTTCCATCAGCTTATGTGATGTATCCATTAAATGTGATTGTAAACAGGTTTGCAATCCGAACCCTCATCAGATGAATGGCTTAAGCAAGATCAAAGCGCTCTGAAGAGTTGGGCACTCTCGCTTCAGAACCAAACGTATAACATCAAGTTGCGTTGGTTATCCGACAACGCTTCTACACCGTGTGCATGGTATGGAGTGCAATGCGGGGTTTCGGAAGGAGTTGCTCGAATTACTATTATTAATTTTTCTCTTTTCAACCTCACAGGAACTATGCCTTCTGGACTTGGGAGACTTACAGGTCTTCGCACTTTAAACTTGGCTAACAATAACTTTAGTGGAGGGATTTCAGATGACATCGGGAACAGTTTCAATCTTAAGGTCAGTCCAGCTTGGAGTAATTCCAGTCTCAGATATATTTTAGACCGCTAAGTGTGCTCTGTCATCTTTTTTGTTTGTTTGCTTTTGTTTGTTTTTTTAAATAAAAAAAGAAGCTCGATTGTGAATCATTTCTCTTAAAATTCACTCTTCTTGAAGACTAACGTTCAAATTATGCGGCTTTTTGGGGTTATTACTCTTTCAATGTTGAACATTCGATGGCCCTTTAGTTATGGCTCCTGCTACTCACAACACTTACGTCCTCCGTATCTTGAAGCAACTCTTTTGATAGCATAATCATTGTGTAGCAAGTCATTCATTTCCAGTCCCTAAGGTGGCAGAATCATGTGAAGTCAAAGCTAATAGATGGGCATCTTGGTTGTTTGTATAGATGTGATTTCTGCCAACGCACTCCAATTTTACTCCTGAGCAGTGATAGATGTAACTCACAGATGCTAATGGAATGGTGGTATCTGTTGCAGGAATTGGATCTGTCTTTCAATGCTTTCTCAGGAAACCTTCCCAAAGGGCTTTTTGATAACTGCCAGAATTTGGAGTATTTTGATGTGTCACATAATAATTTGGAAGGGCCGGTACCACATGAGCTATGGAGTTGCTCAAATCTCCAAACGGTACGACTTAGGAACAACAATTTCACTGGTGACTTGGCTTCTAGTATTGCTCAACAAGGCAGCTTCTTAAAAAAGCTCGAAAATCTCGATTTGTACCTGAATGGGTTTACTGGAAATTTGTCAGATGTCGTCGATTCGATTACGTGTTCTAGCCTTGCGCACCTTGACCTTTCCTTCAACTACTTTAGTGGAGTTATTCCTGCCTCCTTGGGGCGGTGTAGCAACCTGTCTTACATCAATTTTCAAGAGAACGATCTGGCTGGGACTATACCGGAAGAATTGGTTCAATTGCAGAAACTTGAGTCTTTGGGATTAGGCTCGAACAATCTCTTTGGGACGCTTCCTGAAAGTTTTCTGCAGTTCCCAGCGCTCTCGGCGATCGATGTGAGTCAAAACTTTCTTTCTGGAGTCGTACCAAAATGCTTGAGTGAAATGCCCAGCCTTCGCTACTTCGTTGCCCATAGCAACAATATATCGGGTCTAATTCCCCTTGAACTTGCCCATGCACCAACGTTGTACCACTTGGACCTGGGTAACAACAGCTTGAGCGGGGAAATCCCTCCGGAACTTGCAAATCTCACTACCCTGCGATTTCTGCGCTTGTCTAATAATCAGTTACATGGTTCGTTGCCATCAGCGTTTGGAAATTTGACATCCTTACAAGCGCTGGACTTGTCTGCGAACAACCTTAGTGGGCCATTACCGTCCTCCTTTGGGAACCTCCTGAGTCTCCTATGGTTGCAACTGGCTGAGAATCAACTGGGTGGTTCAATTCCGGTGGAAATAACGGGATGCAGCAGTTTGCTGTGGCTGAACCTGCGCAACAATCGTTTTTCAGGGACGATCCCTCGTGACCTCTTCTCCATGGGCTCACGTGCAGGTGCCGAGTTTTCCTTTATCCAAAAGTCAAACGACTTCCCTCCTATTAGCTTTGGTGAGTGCTCCTTGGCACAGAGCTGGATACCTGATGATGTGGTTCCGTTTCGCAACATGGTGAAGGATTTAAGGCATGATCAATGCCGACAACGGTGGGTGGATATGTTGACTGGAAAGAAGTTGAGTTTGGGATATTGGCAATTATCCAACAATAACTTCAGTGGGCCAATTCCTATGCCAGTCACTGGAAGTATGAACTTATCCTGTCTTCTACTGTCAAACAATATGCTCTCAGGCTCGATTCCATATAACATGGACGAAGTTCCATTGTATAATATAGACCTGACAAACAATAGCATTGATGGGCCCATTCCAGATATCTTCGAGAGGCTGGCACCAACTCTTCAGAGCCTGCATCTTTCCTACAACCGTCTTTCGGGGTTCTTCCCTAGCTCTTTAAACAAGCTGAGCTTCCTGTCTACCTATAATTTCTCCTTCAATCCTGATCTCGAGGGCCCAGTGCCGAACAACGCATCGTTTCGAAATTTTGACCCAACTGCTTATCTCAACAATAGCAAGCTGTGCAGGTGGGCAGATGCCACTCAGAAACCAGTACCGCAGGAAATGAAATTTTGCTCCAACTCGTCCGCCTTAGGGTTGGCGCCACCTCGCATGGAAGGTCGAAACGGATTCTCTAAACACGTGGTGTTGATTTGCACTCTCATTGGCGTCTTCGGTGCCATTTTGCTGTTCCTCGCAGTGGGTTCAATGTTTCTATTGGCCATGAAGTGTCGAAATCGTCACTTTCTTGGGAGGAAGCAAGTTGCTGTGTTCACGGACGCCGACAACGATTGCAGGGTCTACGACGCGTTGCCTGTGAACCTCTTCGTCTCAGTTACATGCTTTGGCTCTTTGAAGGCCCTTACGTACTCGGATCTTGTGCTCGCAACTGATAATTTCAGCTCAGCTAAAATCATCGGAGATGGAGGATTTGGAATGGTTTATAAGGCCAAGTTAGCAGATGGCACAACGGTTGCCATCAAGAAACTTGTGCAAGATGGCGCTCAAGGAGATCGGGAGTTCCAAGCGGAGATGGAGACGTTGGGCCGCATTAAACACACGAATTTGGTGCCTTTGTTGGGATACTGCTGCCTGTCGAGGGAGAGGTTGCTTGTTTATAAGTGCCTTAGCAATGGGAGCTTGGATGATTGGTTGTACGAGAGCGAGGATCGCGCAGCTGTTCTTACGTGGCCGCTGCGTCTGCGAATTGCTGCTGGAATAGCTCAGGGGTTGTCTTTTCTCCACCATCAATGCGAGCCACTTATCATCCACCGTGACATGAAAACTAGCAACATTCTTCTTGACGAGAATTTTGACGCTTGCTTAACAGACTTCGGCCTTGCGCGTATTGTGGACCTACAAATGTCACATGTGAGCACTGTGGTGGCAGGTACCCCTGGGTATGTGCCACCAGAGTACGGAGAGACCTGGAGGGCTACTGCCAAAGGAGATGTGTACAGCTTTGGCGTTGTCATGTTGGAGCTTGCCTCGGGAAAACGGCCAATTGGTCCTGATTTCCAGGGATTAGAAGGTGGAAATTTAGTGGGATGGGTGAGGGCTCTTATGAAAGCAGATCGTCACACAGAGGTCTATGACCCCATCGTGATGCGAACCGGTGACGCTGAATCACTTCAGGAGTTTTTAGCTTTGGCAGTGTCATGCACGTCGGCTGATGTGCGGCCTCGTCCCACTATGCTACTGGTCTCTGCGAAGCTGGAGGAGCTTAAATTGAGGCTCAAGTTGGAGGAGCCACAAACTAATACTTCCCATCAATATAGCTCCATTATATCGGATATCAAGGACATGTGATTGAGAAGCTGTCTCATGGAGCGGTCTCTCCCATGGACGGTATTCAAATCATTCATAGGTCGTGTGCTACAGATTCATCCAACTCGTGGTTGCTAGTGTCGGTGTTCTCGCATTCTATGTGGACGTCCAAGGCTGGCTTGTAAGATTTGGTGGAAAAGAGGAACTAGTCGCTCTTCATGATACGATTATCTTTGTACTAAAACCTCAGGGCTGGACTTGAGCAAGGGATCGACCTCGATGCATGTTGGAGAGGAAGCTGTAAATACTAAGAGAGTTTTAATTCGTGAAGGTTGGCTGATACTTTTGACAATCTAGCTATATCATTAGACTTGTACATTTCAGTTTTGACCGATGACAATCAGAAATCTGCTGTTACCACTCGTGAAAGGCAGGATGTTGTAGATGGGGTGACGCGGGGGAGTAGTTCCTTAGACATAAGTTCTTCGAAAGCTGCACTTTCCCCTATACTTGCGTTACTGTTTGAGTGCTATAGATACAAGCACGCATCACCTGCAGTATCTTTTCGCAGATCAGAGGAGCGAGCGTACTTGGGACGATTAGAACAACTGCACCAGTTCGTATTCCTGCAACCATAGGTGCCCTTACTGGAAAGGACAATTTGTAAGATGGTAAGACCTGCCAGTCTGGTCTGAATATAATTTATACAATGTCAGCCTTGCTCCAACGGAGCGGTGCAACCAGATTTTGTCCACGTGAATGAATTTAACAGTCAGTTAATACTCGTTGTTTTCAGGATTCTCACTCTTTGTTTCTTCTTTGTGAGAAACTTGGAACTACTATTTACTGGTATGCATGGATTATCTGTGAAGCCGCCACCATTGGATGCAATCCGTTGAATCCCATTTAAGTGCACTAGGGTTGTGCTCACAGAAGACTTCTTCAATTTCAACGGACGAACCCATGGCGATCAAGGACTTGGTTGGGCGTTGACGGAATCAGACAGCATGCCATTTATTATTGTCGATGGAGAGGCTTGTGCAGTTTATTATGATGTGTAACGAGTTAATGCTGAAGAGTAGGGAATGTGGCAAACAAACTATCGTTGACTGATCCAATTCAGCTTAACTCACAGGTTCAGAAATGACACTTGTGACATTTGGCAGTGATCTTCGTTTTAGTTCCACGAACTCCGCCAGGTTGTATAAAATTTGTAGGTCAGGTGTATTGCACGACAGGACTATTACCGGCCCTGGTTGGCGGTTGTAATTATGTTTGTATGGTATTCTAGTCATCAACCCCTTTCTGTATCCGTTCTACTACTTAACCCATGGTTCCACTACTCCTCCTGTGTTACAGTGCTTAATTGCACAAAATTTATCGTCGCTGTTCTCCATCTTAGTGTATGCCAAACAACCTTTGCTCCAGATACAGCTGTGCTACTTCCCTCGCATGACACTGCATTCTGTTCTCTTGCTAGGTGAGTCATCTCACTCTTACGTTAGAACTGTGCCGTTCTACATTGGTGTTGGTTCTCGTGTGTGAAGTAGATAAAGTGAACCTTGAGCATTGTGAATGTGGTTGAGGATTCTACCTTGTGCAGGGTATGCAACCAAATTGAGCTCACGTTATTCAGATTTTTGTGGCAATAATGGTGTTATTAGTGCCTGGAGTACCCATGGCAGACGATGTCGCATCATCGCTAATTGGCCATCGACTAAAGTCTGGAAGACTGTCACGACCTTCCACTTTGTTTTTCTGAAGATCTTTCTCAGCACAACCATTGTGCTGAGACATATTCAGCGCATCCAATAAGCAGTGATGAAATTCATGAAGACTTCTATTCATTAGAGAGAAGGTGATGCCCTGTACTCAGAATAATGTTGCGCGGGTCAATAACTGGCGTGGATAATAGGGAAAGTCCCAAGAATATTTGGTAATGACTAATACAGTCCATGCCGGGGGCTACCAATTTTCTCCTGACCGAGTTTCTGTTTCTGCTCGAAGCTCCCATAATCAGACGCATTGGCACATTCAATTACCGGACCAGGTTTTATAGGTGATTTAATGGTCCTTCCAAAATAAGATGGAGGATTTTATGGAAGTTAATGTTTCCGAGGTGCAAAGCACCGGGATGGTTGCAGCGCTTCATCCGACGGCTCAACGGTCACCTTTCCATTTGAGGGGAGGAACCACGAGGACCCTTCTTACATGCATTGTATTTCTTAATTTCTTCCCTACATATCGACATTATTTACAATGCATGTAAGCTTCAATAACCAACTTGCTTTGAGTTGTCAGTAACCCGGTGAAGGAAACAATTAGTTGCTATACTAAAAACTATGATGCAAATTTTAGGATTAAAACAAAACAAAACAAAATAAACACACACAAGAATCAACTAGCAATTAGATGGGTTTAAGAATTTAAGAGGATTTATTAAAAAGTTTTAGTGCAAGGAACCATTTGGGTTTTTTGTTTATCCAATACTATATACCAATTGGTAACCTAATCCATTACATCCAAAAAACTTGATTTAGATTTATACCACCTAGTTAAAGAATTTCATAGGATTTTATTCCACCCCATTAAAATTAATCTCTTCAAATTTGGGTTTTGTAAAATAATCTCTAGATTTAATTTGTAGATGAATACTTTCTAAACTCGGATATTGTTTGTAGTGGATTAATAATTATTGCAATCACATAATATTTATGAACATGTAATAATATTTTCATAAATTTTTAAAATATTATGTAAGAATTTTTAAAAAATAGAATAAAATATCTATAATATTAGAAATAAAAAATATAATCAATTTCAAAAAAATTCAATGGCCATCAAGAATCAACATCTAAATTTTACATTAATCATTTTAATAACCAATTGTCACACACTCCAGGAACACAATGATGTTCTAAAGCTCCTTGCCACTTAGAGGAAGTAGGCTTCAAGAGATTTTGCATTGCATGGATCACCATTCCTAAATAAAAGGTTGTTCAATTACAAGTAAAGTGAGGGAGTAAATATTATCTAATCTATTTCTTATTGTCTTTAGCAAACATTGCAACAAAAGAAACACAATGCTGAAAAATATCATATATTATGTTTTTACTTGATTGATTAGGATTTTACTTAAGAATAATTAGGATTTTTACATGAAAGTGATTAAAGTACAAGTGGTTTGATATACAATTGCTATGATGTGAGGACAAGTAATCACCCTACACAATGTCAATATACATAGAAGTGCTCAAAACAAAGATGGCTCATACCTTGGTGGTTCCTACTATCTTTGAGGAAGTCCATACAATGGAACAAGCAAAGAGTAGATGGATAGAGTAGAGTTAGAATTCATAGTAGCCATTGCCAAGATAAAAAAAATTATAGTGATCAATTTGATCCAAGAAATACTAGGTAAAAAACTCCTCGTATGTTTAGGTAAGAATTGCATTGATTTTCTTTAAATTATGCAAGTAGAAGTTAGGCTAGATAAAGATAAAATCCAAAAGGAAATAGATTTATTCCAACAATGCATTGTGATTACATACTTCGTGGGAAGTAGATCCATGGCCAAGGTCCTGCAAGCTTGATTAAGTCAATTAAAAATTGAAGTGTGTAAAGAGTTACAACTTGGCAATAACTTAGGTCATGATTTCTTTTAGATTATTTATAACAATAAGGTAGCATCACAAAAACTACTTATGAAAACACTGCATCATTCTCAATGGAAGATTTATATTATTTAACCATGGATGGTTGGATTTAATTCAAGTCACCCGATTGGCATGAAAATGCCTACTTAGATAATATTGAAAGCCATTCCAAAAAAATTAGTTATTGGTACAAAGAAACTTGCAATAAGTCTTGGATTAGTGATTGAAAAGGATCAAAACAACAAAATTGAGATTGATCAAAAGTTTTGTGTTACTTTATTGAATCAAAGTCTATATATTCTTACAATCAGAGCATTTAATCTAGTAACTAGAAAAACAAAAATGTGCAAGTGGATTACAATAATTTATCCATTGATTGTAGATATTGTTTATCTATTTTGAATCTTATATGAAACTACTCTTCACTCTTTGGATATTATAAAAATGGCAATACAATAGAGAGGCAACTACCTCAAGTCATTCTAATCTACTAGAAGACATCGCAAAAGTAGTGCAAAGACTCTACTTAGCCTTCACTAGTCCAAAGCCCCTCTCTTCAATTACATTACAAAGAATTATATCTCTTTTGGTTCAAACACCTACTTGAATCTACCTAAGGCAGAGTATAGAAGAAGCATAAGGAAGTCAAAAAATAATCAAAATCCAATAAATCACATTATCAACAATCTGTGGTAGAAAAGTTTAAGTTGGGCGAGATGGCTAAGCAAAAATCAGAATAACGCTGAGAATCATCTCCAAATACATCATTTTTTTTTTTGTAGAAAAAAATTTCTTCACACCTATAATAAGTAGACTAATAGAATTGAAGATTAAGCCTTTGATTGTACGTTGATATAAAAAAACAAGCTAAAAAAATTAGGCAAGTAATAGTGGATTATTTCCAAGGCCTTTGATATAGTCAACTTGTCTTTGTGGTCACTAAAGAATTCTAAAGGAGGATTAGAATAAAACCATTAAATTATGGAAAAATTAGCCAAAAAAAAGAACTTACTTGAGGTTCCAAATTTGATTGAAACAATGGATGAACATCAATCTAAACCACAAATTATTCTAATATATATGATTGATCTACAGGAAATATTAGCTTAGACGAACTGAAACAAAGCATTGTCACCCTCAATTCACTATGGAACTTATTATGTAGTCCATAGAGTAATGGAGTTAATCCTCACCCCATTTGGTTGAGAATTGACCTAAACAAAGGAAATCCAACCAAATTGGTTTGAGCAAGTATAATTCATGATAACTCCTAAAAGCCAAATGGCATTAGTTGCATAATCTAAAAAGGTGGAAACAAACTTAGATCAAAATATACATTGCAATCCTCAAATATGTCCACAAAGATAATCAAAAAAACCTCTAGAAGTATTGAGAATTAATTGCTATCATATTACATGAAGTTTGTTTGAGAATGTACTAAATACTTAGTTGTAGAAGGAAAAATGGAACTTGAAACAAGATGATCTTAACTACTCTAATAGAATCCTAAATAAACTTCAATAAAATTATAAAAATATTAATAAATATTTAATTAAATCAGAAAGAAGTCTCAAGAGCTTACAAAAGAAACAAAAAGAAATCATAAATTAATCTTAATAAAATATATATAATAAAAAATATCAAAAATATCAAAAATAAAAATTTTAAATTAAATTCTAATCAAACTCTAATATAATCTTCAACAATTCCTAATGAAAACTTAGACAAATCCTAATCAAATCCCAAGTCAAATTTTAAATCCTAATCGTAAATCAAATTTTAAATCCTAATTGTCAATCAAATTTTAATCAAATTTTAAATAAATTCTAATAAAATTCTAAAAAAATCCTAATCAAATCCTAAATCCTATTAAATCAAATCCTATTAAATCCTAAAAAAAATTTGAAAAAAGCTTAAGCAAACCCTAGACCCAACTCTAATGAAATTCTAATTCTAAATAATTCCAAGAAAATCCCAATTAAATTTCAATCAATTACTAAAATTATTTGAAACCTCAATAAATATTAAATGAATTATAGATCTTGACTAAAATTTTACCTAGACTTCAACCAATAAGAAATTAAAAAGCATACAAATTTGGAGAAGAATGAAACTTACCAATTGCAACAAAAGCTCTCAAAACCTCTCAATCATTGGCCCCCTTTCTTCTCCGACTTAAAATGTTGATTTTTCAATACCTATTTTTCCTTGCTAAACTATTCAATCACTCTAAAAATTGAATTGTATATAGATATTTAAATTTCAATAATTCTTACCAAATTTTTACATTAATCCAATTAGTAGATATTGCTAGATCTTGGAATCACTCATTGATCATAAATCTCAAATTTTTGAGACTATAATCTACAAAAATCCTCATATGCTTCAATTTAATTGCTTGATTGACATCAAATTTTTTACACATATTTATGACAAGTACAAAAACAAACTGCCCAATTTTCATCCATATCTACATTACAAAACTCACAAAATTCTAAAATTTATAAATCTTTTTTATTTTTTAAAATCTAAATCCATTAAGTACATCATTAACTTTGAAAATCCCTCAAAATCTCAATATTAATTCAAATAACATGAAATCAATATTCAAATATAATCTCTCAATTTTGCTTTCAAATTTCACTTTTTAATTT